CTCCCCGCGCACCAGTAAAGGCTTTGATGCGGGCTCAGGCAGCCGATCGCCCGGTCCACGCGCAGCCAACGGGGGGGCGTGAAGGATTCCATCCGACCGTTGCTTTCCTTTCGCACGTATTTTTCTGCTCGGGGCTGGTCGTCGTGCGGCGTCGTAGAGGAGGGGGAGGAAAGATCTGGCCAGGGGTCGTTCTGGAGGGAGCAGTGGTACGCGCCGGCCTCAACGAGCGCCTCCGCGTCAAACTTGCCATGCACGAGGGCGAGATATAGCTTCGTGCAGGATCCACTACCACTACCACCACCACCTGACATCTCGGAGGGTTCTTTCTGCGCAATCAGAGTTGCCACCTGCCGCGCCGACGCGGCGTCGAGGGCTAAAATCAGCACGCCGCTGGTAACCGCGTCAAGCCGGTGAACAACTAAGGGCTTCCACGGTGCCTGCGCGGGATCAGGGGAGAGGGGCGCGCCGTCGCTCGCGTTGGAGAGCCTCTGTTTTAGAAGCTCCCAGTCCTTCTGGCAGACACCCGTGGCGGCGAGGCGACCTTCCCCTCCCTTTGGCGGCGCCAACCACACTCGCATCAGCTCAAAACCCTCCTGCCGGTGGCAAATCGAGGCGTACTCGAGGACGTCGCCGTCGGGCGCCGGGCGGTAGTGCTCCGTATACGCGTAGTGCACCGCATCCTTACCGCCAAAGAGGACGTCTTGTAGGAGCGACGTGACGGAGTTTCTGCGGTAGGAGCCGGAAGGATGAACAGGCAGGCCGGAGGGTTTGCTTACCACGACCAACGCCTCCCCCTTCTCGTCCTCTCGCAACGTCCCGTCGCCGGCGAGACGGCTGACATCGCAGCGCAGGATATACAGCGGCTCGTCCGCGAAGATTCGCCCCTCCCGACGCCAGACGCGATGATGCAGGATATCGCGTTGCCGCAGCAGAAGCAGCGCGGGGAGATGCCGGGCGAGGATGTCATCCGCCTCGGCCTCAGTTGGACGCGTGCGCAGCCACTCCACCGCTTCCGCCCAGGAAGACGCCCCTCCGCCTCCCCTTTCCGTCAATTTCTCGTAGTGGCGGAGGAGGGCATCGCGGAGCTGCTGCCCGGCAGCGCGGCACTCCCCCTCCCGCGCGTGGAGCCAAAGCGCACCCCCGCAGAGCTCCTCGATGTACGCAGGGAGGGAGCGGCGGTGGTCGAGATCCGCCGAGCCGCCACCTGAAGTCATGGCGAACTCCCGCACGCACACCGTGAGGAGGGGGAGCCCCAGCCAGCGGCCCTTCACGTGAGCTTTGAAGACAAAAGAATAAGGCTTCACTTCGATGAAGGCGTGCGGCGCCAACGGGGATTTCTCCCGGGAAGGAAGGCCGCCGAAGTGCGGACACGTGCTGCAGCAGGGCGAGGAAGTCAGGTAGCGGTCCACGCACTCAACACACGCGATTTCTTCCGAATTTTCTTCCTCGTGTGGGCGCATTTTCATCGGGTTGGGGCAGGCAAATGACTGCAATCCTTTTTTCCTTTTACCAATAAAAAAGAGTAATAAATAGTCTTTTTAAAAAAGATCACCATCATTATTAATCCGTGTCTCTCAAGTAAGGTAGTTAATTCATACACACATAAGAGCGCCTATATGTTCATTCTTTGAGACTCCAAGTTGTCTTGGGGCTCGACTATACTTTTTGTTGTGAGGCATCCCCCCCCCCCACCCCCGCCCCATTACACACATGTTATGCTGGCCAGTACCTTCTCTCTCATCTCCTCTCCTCTCACGCGCACACGTCCTGATGAGAAATCAAATTCCCAAACCAAGCAGAAGCTATAAACCATTATGCAGGGAAACCACACGGTTCGCTCACACCATTCGTTCCACCTTGAACTTGCGCTATGAGTTTCATGTGGCGTTTCTTCGCTCGATTTACGTGCCTACGTAAACACAGTAGCACCACCTCCCCAAGAATTATAAGCGCCCCCATCACCAAGACCAAGATCACGATCCTTTTATTCAAGGAAGAAGTCAGCGTTTCGGTATGGAAGTCGTAGATAAAGGAGCCCTTATGGTCTAAATTCACGCACAGGTTGAGGGACTTATAGTAGAAAAAGTCCAGTTTGCAGGTCTTCGCCGGCACGCATACCCGAGGCTCTTGGGATCCTAGTTTGAGATTGTTTCTGGCATCTTCCACGTGTCTATGCGCGCCCAGGTAAAGCATAGGAAGGCCGATCAGGTGGTCGAGAACCGTTCTTTCCCCGCCTTCTGTAACGTTGCGTGTGAAGCCGTACGTAGCCCCTGCCAGAGCGCTCATCCACAACACGATCGGAGGTTCGTGGTATTCGCCTGAGCGCACCTGCTCGATCGCCTCGCTGTAGGAGCCGGAGGAGTAGATGCGCAGCGCGACCTCCGGTCGATCCAGCGAGTATTTCCCCTTCACCAAATCTTTGTGAAGAAGGTGATTGAGATCGACGGTGAAGGTGCAGGGTACGTTGTGGTTGTTGGAGTCGATCGACCGCAGCACGTGATCCTGTCGAATCGTGAGCTCCAGCGGCGGCATTCTTCCGATCAATTGCGAGGGAAGGTAGCATTCCATGTAGACGCCATCACCGTAGGTAGCCCTCGCGCTGTTATTTCGGCGCCACCAACACGGCCCATTTTCCCCGGCGTTTAAACTATCGAGAAGGCTGCCACCGCCCCCTTTTTGGTTGCTGAGCCATCCCAGGATCGAGAGAATGAGCTCCTTTGGGAACATCATCCGGACGTCTTCGCTGCCGAAGGTGTTTTGCGTCGTCGTCAAGAGCAGAGTATAGTCTACCGAGAGTAGATTCGCGGTTTTCGTCGAGACCACATCCGAGGTGTCGTGGCCGCAGATCGCGACGTGGACGGGCAGATGAAGGCCCCCATCGCCATGCCAAAGGGAGGGGGTCGAGCGAGGCAGGTGCGCCCGCGAGTCGGTAAGCCGTAAGAGGCATCGACTAGACGCCTGGCAGTTCGAATGCCTAATGTTCACGCAAAACGTCTGCTCCAGCAGCCTCTGCGATACGCCATCCATGTAGTTCAGGTTCATGGCGTCGCTCTGCACGACGACGGGCGACCAGGGCGTGAAAAGGAGGAGAAGCGTGTCGTTGCTGGAGGTACCGCACGGAAAGGCTGGGCTGAGGCCGCCGTAGAGGACCTTTCCTTCCCCCATCTCTTCGTTGTCGACGGCGTCCTTGCAGATAAACGATGCGCAGCGAAACATGAGGTTGAACGCCACCTCCTCGGGGCTCAAATCGCGAAGCCCCGCCCCCCACTCCTCTTCTGACATGACGCCCGGCGCGAGCAGCGTATTCCACACCACTTCCCGATGAAAAACAGCGTCAGCCGTCACGTCAACGCCGCAGAGGACGGATGCCAGTTGGAGGAAGGCATCACTATCGTACATCGCGGTGGATGCCCTCTCCTCTTCCTTCCTTAGTTCGTGTGGGATCTGCTTACGCAACGGCGTCGTGGCGTTCGCCCTTCCACACAACACGTACCGCGTGCTGGAGAATCCTTCCCCCCCTTCCCCAACGTCCAAGTCGAAGACCGTTTTGACGTGGGCGTAGCGCAAGAGCTTCCCCATCACCTCCGACATCTCATCCCCATCCACGCAAACCGACAGAAGCGCGAGGGCAATAAGGAAATAAATGGGATACGCAATCCAGTGCGCGGCACACGCACGCCAAGAGGATGCATAGCCCACGCCATTTACCATCTCTTCATTTACCCTAAGCAAAATACTATTGCTTGGTGTAGATGTTGGGTAAAGCTAGCCTACAAGATCTTTTCAATTCACTGATGCAACAAAAGGGTTGGGAAGATCACAGGTGGTTATTCGCCGTCCACCGCATGGTAGGGTTTTTATTCCTGAAAGAGAGCCAAGAATAATGGGTAAATTAAACACGCGCACAGAAGCGGCTTTGATTCACCACTTGAAAATATAATACAATAATCTCACTTAAACCCCCCGATGTCGAGGGATGGGGTGGAGCGTCAGTAGGGGATATACGTCTGTAGCCCCTCCCTTGGCTTCACATATATATATATATATATATATATATAACGTTACTAATGCGAATCTCCGTTTTAAGGGTTAGTTTGCGTTCAAGAAGGCGGAATATAACCTTTCCTCGTTGATAGCACGATAAACTAATGTTAAGCAATTTTCGTGGACGGATTCAACTTATACATATCGTTGAAAACTATCCAAGTTGAGAAGGCGGATGTCACCTTCTCAACTATTAATGATGCCTCCAAGAAGAGCCAAGTACATGACCAGTAAGCTCGAGCCCGAAATAACTGCTTAACAAAGTCTCTTAGTCTGACGAAATAATATTTTCCATAGCAGAACAAGAAAGTAGTGGTCCAAATGCAATTTTCGGAGATAAGGGAGACGATGCCTCGATCACCTACTTTGTATGCTCTTGTGTCACACCCCGGTCCATAAGGATGGTATTCACACACAAGGCAAGACATTCCCTCTTCCTGCCTCACTCGCAGGACTATGCCCTTAAAAGGGTAGGCAAGCGAACTTCAGATAGAGGAGAGGAGTGAGAGGGAGGAAGAGGGGGGTGGAGAGGGGTTGCCTATCTCTGCCCCCCGTTTTCACTAGAATGGGCATATGATCGAGCACAGACGCATCAAAAACGGACGTTCCTCTACCGGCACGACAAGCGGTAAGATGGCGTCCGGCTCGGCGCCGATCAGTTGGTGGTTCGCTCCCGGCTCGTCCGCCTCCTCGACCTCCACCGGGGCGTCCTCGTAATCGCAGAGGAAATTCGCGCAACAACTGCGCTGCGCTAAGATACACTCGTCAAGGATCGGATCGACGTGGTGGGCGTCCGGGATGACAACAAAGCGGAGGTCCACCGGCGGTGGCAGGGGCTGCAGAAGGGGGGGTTCATCGTCGTCGTCGGGGTGCTCACGGGAGGAGCCCCCAGCGCTCACACCCTCCTCCCCCACCCCCTTTTCCTTTTCCTCCTTGGGGGGTACCACGTCGGAATCGCTGGAAAGGGCGCCCGGGTGGAGGAGTCGACGGGAGCGTTGGGCGTGGCGCCACGCGGCCGCCCGCCAGCGCTGCAGCTCCGCCGAAAATCGCCGCTGGGCGTCGCGAAGAACGTGCACGAGCGTCGCGCTCTCTCGAAGCGGGGCGCTCTTGTCGGCATCGCCGTGCAAAAACGCCATCCGACGCGGGAGAAAGGCGAAGAAGGTGCTCGGCAGCACCTCCCCGGTCTCCCCGGTGCGTCGGCTGTCGAAGTAGGCGTGGATGGAGTACCGTGGGAGGCGCTCTGGGCCGCCGACGATGCTGTGCAGGACGTGGTGATTCAGCCCATTCCGATGCAACTGCGGCCCCATCGCCTCGATGTTATACAGCCCGCTGAGGCCGATAAAGCGGTGGATGGACTGGCGGGGGTTGTAGCGAGGGACGTTGTAGGTGACGCCGGAGGGCGGCGGCAGCCCCTCCCGATTCCCCGTCGCCGCGTACGCGCAGAGGTGGGCCTGGGAGATGAGCGACATCATCGCGAGGTGCGCCCCCGCGGAGTGCCCGATCATCGTGACGTTGTCGAGGTCGCCGTTGTAGCGCGCGGCGTTGTTCAGGACCCACGCGATCGCGTCCGAGACGTCCAGCGTCATCCCCTCCATCGTCGTCTGCGGGAAGTTGCGGTAGTCGGGGCAGAAGACGATGTAACCACGCGCGGCGAGCACCCGCGCGAGCATCGTGCCCCACATCTGGCTGCCAATAATCCACGCCCCGCCGGTGATTAAAATCGCGATGGGGAATTTCTTCCACCGGATCCCGCCCGTCCCGCCCGGACGGGTGATCTCCATCGACCGCATCAGCGCGTCGAGCGGGATCGGCAGCACGATATCGAGTGTCGCGCGGTTGTGTAGATTTTTGAGGTCCTCCTCATCCGCCGCGAGGGGGCGGCGCGTCGGAAGCTCCCTTCGAGGAGTGCGCGATCCTTTGGTCTTCACGCCGCGCGATTCGTGATCGTCGCCATCGCCTTGCGCGGGGGATAACGGCTCCTCTTCCCGGCGAGAAAGAGGACGGTCGGAGCGTCGCCTCAGCGGGCGTGGAGGGCGCTTCAGGAAGCCCCTTAAAGGGGATCGATCGCCGTTCACGCCACCGCCGTGAGGGCGCGAGGGGAGTGGGAGGCTTCGCAGGGCCGATCCGTCCGCCGGGTTCACATTATACCGCGAGGAGTGCAACAGCCGCTTGAGGGCGAGTAAAACGGCCTTGTTGTTCCGTCGATAACTCGCCGGGGGGGATTTCACCCCACCTGACGTCTCACCTGTCGCGACGCTCGCAGTTTGGCTGATTTCTCCGATGCTCGCGGGGTCGGCATCGTGGCCGGGTGCAGGGAGCCTCGGCTGAGGGAGGCGTATCTTCGGCTGCGAGCGCGAGTGCAACCGCTGGGAGGTTGACTTTCGCAGGAGCTCCTCGAGACTCACGCCCTCGGCCTCCAGCACACGGCCAAAGTTGCGGCATTTCGTTGCCAACGAGCTGCGGTAGGCCACACGGTGTATAATATTCGCCGAGGAAAGGTACCACCACCAGTGAGGGAGATAAAACAAAAGCATAACAGATCCATACACAAATAGACGAATCATTTGCAAGACCCAGGTGACGCCGGTGCTCAAGGCAACCAGAAGCTGCACGGCGCTTTTTATCATCCACACAAACTGCTGGAAGGCATAGGTATACATGGATCGAATTTTTTTTATTGATAGGCTTGCTTCATTAAAAACGCATAAATATGTGTTGCGTATATATGCTAGACCGATAAAATTCCACAACGTGAAATTTTCTTGCAACCTTATGCTGCGAATAGGAAAACAAGGATCAATCTATTCTACTACGCAAAGCTTTAAAATGTGAACTGAAGAGGGTGTTATGATATATACATATATTTCAATTTATATGTTAGGAATGATAATAGGCCTCCACAAATATTTTTGGATAAGTATCGTATGCCGTGGTTTTGGTTACAGTTGTAAAAAATATACACGCAAATATATACACACACATTGGTGGAGTAAAGATGAAAATACATATACATGCAATCGACAATGCTTCGTTCTTATAATGTGCTTGATGATCAGATCACATTCACCGTTCAACAAAAATACGTATTTTGGATATCCACCATCTATTTTTGCGGTTACGTGTGTGAAGGATGTAGGGGGGGGGGGGGAGGGGAGGCGAGGGAAGGAAAGGGTTATATAAATATGCAAAACTTTGCCAACTGTTGAATATTTCCATATTGTTAGTCATAAATATGAAGAAAGATATGCAGACAAATAGCAAGTAAATGCGCAGAGTTCGCCACAAAATACATTCCTTCATAACACTGACTTTGAGACATAATGTCTTACTGCGTATGCCTGCCCTGATAATGATACCACATACCGAAACACCAAGTCGCATATAAAGCACAGAAAGACAGAGCCTTTCCTTGCTTTATCTTCCTAACACACCAGAATTCACACGTCTCCACTCTTTTTTTTCTTAACGCTCATGACGCAACCAGATTCAATAGACAATCAGCGTAGGTAGAAAGATTTTACAGTTTCATATGTACATAAACCCGACCCATACTCTGAAACTAGAGTCAAAAAAATAAGTTCACCTATAAATTGCAAAGAAGTATTCTAAAATTGTCCACCTTCCCTTTCCCCCTTCTTGACCGTTGATTAGAAGGGTGAAACAAAGCTGGCCAGGCGCATTACCATGGGGCGTTTTTTCGAAAACTCCGGAGGGATCAATATGGTATCTGGCCGACCTACGAGCTTCGTGATAGATTTTGCATTCTCCTCATGCCCTGTAGTCAACACTAACTCACTACGGTCATGATCGACGTATCCTGCCGTCGATGTCGAGGCCTTCGGCGACACCGGTATGTAGGCGCCGCTGGACGATCCGCCGTTGCTTCTTTGGTTACTAGGGCACATGTTATAGTTTTCGAGCAACTCCAAAGCATGACTATACCCACCAGAAAGCGGCTCCTCAACGACAAAGTCCGTGTGCGTGGCGCCAGGCACGAGGACGTACTCGATTAAGACCGGGCTCGGCCCATTCAGGGCACGGTCGGGGTCTGACTGATAAAGAGTCATCAACATCTTCCGCTGCGCGTTCCGCATCTTGTAGACTAACCGGGCGGTCTCGCTCACCGGCGCGCTCATGTCGGCGTCGCCGTGCGCGAAAAGCATCTCCTCGGGAAAATAATCAAAGAAAATAAGGGGGAGCGTCTCGCCGGTGTGCGCTAACAGGTAGTCGTCAAAGTAAGCACAGGGGGAAAAGCGCCACAGCTGCGCGCGACCACTAACGATCTGGAAGAACACCCGGCGAGGGAGCCCACGGCCATCGAGGTGCTTAACCAGCCGAAACAGGGCGTAAAGCCCGCTGAGGCCGATAAAGCGGTGGATGGACTGGCGGGGGTTGTAGCGAGGGACGTTGTAGGTGACGCCGGAGGGCGGCGGCAGCCCCTCCCGATTCCCCGTCGCCGCGTACGCGCAGAGGTGGGCCTGGGAGATGAGCGACATCATCGCGAGGTGCGCCCCCGCGGAGTGCCCGATCATCGTGACGTTGTCGAGGTCGCCGTTGTAGCGCGCGGCGTTGTTCAGGACCCACGCGATCGCGTCCGAGACGTCCAGCGTCATCCCCTCCATCGTCGTCTGCGGGAAGTTGCGGTAGTCGGGGCAGAAGACGATGTAACCACGCGCGGCGAGCACCCGCGCGAGCATGACATTCCACATCTGGCTGCCAATAATCCACGCCCCACCGGCGATGGAAATTACAATAGGAAACTTCTTGAGCCTGGGAATGTTGCTCTGCACGTTGTCCTTAGTATTCCTTTCGTCGCAAGCCGGCTCCTGCTCCCTTGTGCGGACGATCTTTTCCTCGTAATCCACATAGCGAAGAAGACTATCCAGAGGCATAGGGAGGTAAATGTCGAGTGTTGCGCGGTTGTGCAAGTTCTTGACGTCCTCCTCGTCGCCGTCGGAATCATCAGAAGTGTATAAGGCATCGTCCGAGTCGGATTCAAGGGACGAAATCCTCTCTTCGATATTTAATGGCTTCTGATCATTCAGGAAAATACTTTTTAAAATAGTTTTAGCATCATTAATAGAAGTACTGCAGTTTGATATTTCATGGGCCTTACTCATAGTAACACCATTAGAATTCACGGGAAACCCATCGACATAGGACCCGTCTGCAGGATTGAGCATTGACACAAGTTCATCAACGGTGCGGAATGGAGGATGGTCTTGGGCGCCCAAGTATGGTTCCTCATTACGGCAGGGACTCTCTTCATGGACATGCCCATTACCACGATTCGCATCGTATGGCGTTGAACTCCGCATGCCTGTATGCTGTTGTTGCATGCAACGCTTGAGTTGTGCCCTGCAGTTTTGCAGTTTCGTTTTACGAGAACTACGATAGGCCACATGTCGTATGATTTGGGGCGAGGTGATATACCAGACCAAAGAGGGCACGAAATATATGATATTTAACACACCGAAAAGAAGACAACGGGTGGTCATGACAATCCACTTGAGCCCGATTCCAAAGGCAGCAAGAAGCTGTGCGACCGACATGCAGACCCAGAGGACCTGATTATAGACATATTTGATCATACTTATCTTGGCTAATTTTTTAATACTATCTTATCACGTAGAGAGTTCTAGTCTATATGTAACTTATAGGGCATATGAATAGAGTGAGAGAAATGTACCATATAAGCGCAGATTTGTGGGAGGCAAGCAACATTTTCATTAAGAATCGTTTCATTTCTTCACTTTGCTTACGCTTTGGAAACCATCTAATTTGATATAAACAACACCAAAAGGTAAGGCCAAATAAGAGCCCCAAGGAGTCCAGTAAAGTTTTGGCCACGTGGTTCTTTCTCCTGTATGTGCACGTAGTTTAGACATCCTCCTGATCTTTATCTGATCCTGTTGTACTACTCGGCTCATTCTTCCGTTTAACTTCATAAGCTATCTTGACAGAAGTTCACACATACACACACACACACATATATATATGTATATATATATATATATAACACAATCTTGTAGCAAAATTATGGGAGATAAATGGAATACAAAGTGGTATGGCACCAGACCCTTCACACTTGGAGATGAGCAGCTTCATCCCACAAGTGTAAGAAGTACAACCCTTTAAGGTCCTCCGACCATGCTTGCGTGAGGTCCGTCCCGACGGCCTCTGAGAGGACCACCTTATGAACTCCCATGGTCTTTGCAGAGGAAGTCTCAGCGCCGTCATTCGCCTCGTCGTCACCACCACACCCCACCCCACACATCGGTGCCTTCACGGTAGAGGTTTGTTTGGCGGAGGATGGTGGACGACGCCCGAGGCCCTCCGACACCTTTACCGTCGCCGAGCAGTGTGGGCAGGGGGTAGTCTCGTCGCCGCCCTCTTCTCGACCCACCCACCGCGAGACGTCCAATTCGAAGCCGCGGTGGCATCGCGGGCAAAAAAGAACCCCCGCAGGTCGCTTGATCACCACGGAGGGCTCCGGGGCCTTTGCTCGCCGAAGACGAGGGGGGTCCGCGTCCACCAAAGGGGGAGTTTCCACGCCCTGTCGTCGTTGCCGGGCCGCCGCGGCCTCGCGTTGGAGCCGCTTCGCGAAGGCCTCGGCCTGACTGGCGGCAACGGCGGTCCCCTCCCTCGCCAAGACGATCGACGGGCCGGGTTTCTTCCACCCACGGATCGACGATACGGTGCAGGGCGGGTTGGAGTACCGCTGCTCTTTGGGATTGAAAGAGGCGGATGGGCCGCTCGCACCGCCCTCTTCTTCCTCCTCCTTCACTATGGAGGTGGAGGGGTCCTCGTCGTAAGGGTTGTCGCCCTCGGATGCCGATGTTGGACCCTCAGTGATTTCCGATATAACGCGTGCGCACTGCTCCAACCACGCGGCATCGCCGCACGCGGAGCCGCGGGATGGCCTTCGACCGGCGGATATCAAACCCCACGTGGATGGCGCGTCGGGGATCGAGTGGGCAGGCCCCTGTTCACCCTCATAGGCTTCTAGATCATTGGTGTCGACTTCGTGGTAGTCTTGGATGGCGTCGCATAGTTTGGTGTATAGCTCGATGCCTTCCTGCACGCAGACCTCAATGTGGGTTCCCGTGCCGTCAATTGCATTGCCGGTTTGACATTTTGGTGCACCGGGACTCTCATCAGATTCTTTTGAAAACTCATTCGGTGCACTTTCCGCGTCTTGGATATCTTCATCACCGCATTGGAATGTTACTTGCAACCTCGAATCGGCTGCAACTTGGGTGCCTTCATGATGCCTACTGCGTGCACACGAAGGGGCTTGTTCAGTCGACGTGCTGGCTGTAGACGATACGGTAGCCAAAAGAGTTGTTTTGGGTGCTGTTTTCTTCTTGCTTGCTTGCGTTGTGCCAACCACTATCCGAGATTTATTATGGGATTGTGCTTTGGAAGCAGACGTAAAATAGGATTGAAGGATTCTGGTACTGGATGATCCGCCGTGGACCTCCGTATGGAGATCACTCAGCGCTTGTTCTATTTCCTTCAAGCGACTTTTCCCTTTGTTGTACATATAATATCCATGTAGTCCTTTTTTATATAGAGAAAAGGTATGTATTAGAGTAAGTATGCACACCCCTGATGGGACTCACAACGCTGGGACCCCACATGTAGATGTTTAAAGGAATAACCAGACATTTAAAGAGATGACTAGACGAGCTATAGACCATGTTAAGACCCCAAGAACAACCGACAAGACTGCGAATCTTTTCGCATATTTTGACCTCAAGCTTTTAGCAAAGATCAACAAGACCTCATTCCCTCATAGGTTGTACTCGCCTCTCGCATATTTCAGTCAAATATATTTTTTTCAACAATAAAGCTTACTGATTGATCCATCGACCGGGTAAACAATCCCTCTTAGTGTCTGGGAAACGTACACATGCACATTTAGAGACTCTCAATTCTTTCAAGATCCATCTGTCTCACTCGTGCTATTCTCCCCTTTATCAGCGCATTCCTGACCTTTAGGATCAGAGGCGCTGTTTCCACCGGGTGTCTTGGATTCGTCAGTCTGCTTATTCTCCGCAGGACCCCTTCGACGGCGCAGACGAAGCCGCAGCTGCCGTTTCAGCAAGGCCCTAGGTCGATCCAAAGCATCCGACTCAGAAGCCTTGCGGGCGTGCTGCTCGTACATTGTGAGTCGATTTGCGGCACGGTCGCCTAAGGGGATGATATCCGCAATCGCCGGCCGTGCTTGGGCACGCTGCAGCTCCTCATCCCTGGCCTCCAGCTCTTCTCGGGCCTGATTGTCATGGCCGACGAGGTCTGGCCCCTGCTCAGCATTCCACTCCTCCGCGGGGTCGACGCTCGGTGAGGGGGGGTGATGCTCCTCGCCTGCGGGAGCACTGTCTTGGGGAAGGGCTGCCTTACCCGCCCTCATCGATTTCTTTACGCGCGATGCCCTCCCGCGGCGGTGGCGAGAGTCGGCCGCACGGGACGGTGCCAGAGGATTCGGCTGGCTTTCCGATGGTACCACGTGATCTAACAGGCCACTGCGCACGAAGTACATGTGGCCGTTGTAGGGCATGTTGGACTTCTGGTTCCACCACTTCATCGGCCGCGCGCTGGGTGCGTCGTCGAAGACGTAATGATCCACGCCCTGGTGGAGGATGTACTCCATGAAGGCGAACGGGGCCCCTTTCACGAAGGGCGAGCCCACCGTCCCGCTGGTGGGGAGGGCGCCCTCCGGCCTCGCGGGGTCGGGGTTTGACCCCGCGTGGATCATCGCGGGCTTCGACAGCATCAGTTTGAAGGTCAGGTCGCTCTCCAGCGGCACGTACGGCGGAGGGGTTCGCGTGACCCAACTCACGGGAAGAAGCCGCTCCATCGAGAGGAGGCCGCGCAGCTCCTCCACCTCCGCGATACCCTTGGAAAGAAGGGGGGGCCGCGAGGATGGCCGCAGGATCCCGTGGTGAAGCGCGGATCGATGGGCAAGCTGCTGGACCGCGTCCACGGCGGTGATCACGGGGGCCTCGAACTGCCCGAGGTAGAGTCGGCTGTTCTGCGCGACCTGTGAGGAGGCGATGAGGCCAACCGCCTGCGCACCCCCCCGATGAGCTTCACGTGAGGCTCCAGGAGGGCGACCTCGTAATCCCGCACGCGGCCGACGGTGTGGGGAGGACAGATCTGATAGTCATACGCGCCCATGAGGCTCTGCAACGCGCCTACACGACGGGTCCGCTGCCATAGCATGGGCTTGCGTTGAAACCAGGTGCCGTAGCCCTCGACCTGGGATAGGGCCACCACCCCCCTCACGATGCTCTTCTTTTCTAAGTTGAAGCTCACGCGCTGCGTAAGGGGGTCGATCTCAATCACATCCCGAACGTCCAGCGGACCCACATGGGTGATGTAGGTCCGCAGACGCTCACCGCGAATCCCATACGCGCATGTGATGTAGGACGACTCCACAAGCCCGCGCATCGCGAGGATGGAGTGTTGCGTATAGTTCACAAAATACATGGCGTGCCCTTTCTGCACGAGGTGCCGTAGAGCGAAGTTGGCATGGCGTGAAATCAGTTCTAAATTAACTAGCTTACTGTAGTCAATATAAACGTCATAGGCGGCGGTGGGTGGTCCCGAACCACCTGGAGGAGGTGTTTGCCGACCTGGTGGTTCACTTCCGTGAAGAGATGATCCGTTTGAGGCTATTATATCATCCCTTAGATCCGCGGTTCCCTTGGTATCGTCGGCGGAGTGAGGAGGTCGACCCTTGGCAAGGACATGCACCTCTGGAAGCAAAAACGGTTTCCACTGTGGATCTTTAAATTTGTACGTCGCGATATAGGAGCTAATGCGATTGATATTATTGCTACGACGAATCGAGGCCACACAAAGCTCGTCCGGATCGCGCACCCAGCGACGCGTGTAGCCCAAAGCAGTGGAAGATGAGCTACCGTCTGCCTGAGGCTTACTTAAATCCCTAGGAGTGGCGTGGTAATTGCTATTGGTGAGTGTATCCGCAAGGCTAAGGGCGTTTTGCTTATTCTGAAGGAGCGGGACTGTAGACCCGGGCTGTGCAAGTGCCATGCGATATGTTAGGAGACGGTTTCGCTTCTGCTCATAGTTCGAAGTTCTACTAAGACGCACCACACGAAGCGGTTTCGGTGGCATAGGGCACACACACGTGCAAATGGGAAAAATGCGCCTTGGGCTTTGTATTTTCTTCTCAACCCTTTTCAGCCACTGCAAAGCACTTGATGATACTACGAAGCGATGATAATTTTGAGGAGGGGAAGTAGTAGTAGAGTTGGGATAGATTCAATAGTAAACTAATCAGCGTGTTTCTTAGTAGACATGTGTGATTTCACCCAAGAAGGACGATACTATAGGAAAAGACTGGAGTTTTTTCTTACGAAGATTCATTCGTAATAATCATATAATCCTATCACTATATACCACATCAACCCCTTTCACCTTAACAATCCCCTCCTTCCACAACTTTCAATCCACAGGAAAGAGTGAATAGGGCTACAAAAAAGAGAAATAAAGGCATATGGAAGGAGGGGCTAAACTAAGATGAGGAATCCTCAAAGGCTCTTGAAGTTTGGTATTTGTATATGGCTTCACTCAAGACGCTATTCGATAAAATTTTTACCACTTTCCTCTACAAAAAAAAATGGGGTAATTATTCATCATGGAGAACCTTTTCATGAGTTCTTTAATGATTTTCAAGCTGCTAAAAGAATATTTCTCGTAGTAGTAGTCTTTATCCCGATTTCCCTATCTTTTTACTTCCTGTTATTTTTCATCTCATTGCACAAAACGAAAAACAGAACCAGCGAGAGTATTACAATAACACCCTCTTTACCTAATTCTACGCAATTTTAATATCAAAAATATTCAACGTATCCGACAGGTGTCTAGGATGTTCATTGCCTTCGGCCCTGGCCTTTTCGGCGTTTGCCTCATTTTGCTTTAGGAGTTCCTCAGGTACCTTCTTGAACTCGGCCTCTATGAGTTTGCCGATACAGTAGCCTAGGCGAAACTGGCCACACTGCACACACTCCTTCAACACCCAGGTCCATGACTCCTCATTCGGCTTTATCTTATTGCGGTGGCTCATTTCCTCGAGCAGATCAATCATCGCGCAGAACTTGCTTTCATTTTCTATCGGTTCAGCCGCCTTGCTGGGGGCCTCAAAGATCTTCTGCAGCGTCGCATTGTACGTCTCAAGATCAGGAGGGCAGTTGTTTACATTCATCTTCACCAGCACTTCTCCGGCCTCGTCATAGTACTGGCACTTTTTGATCTCATTGATCCATGGCGCGGTATTGGTGTCGACCTCATAGCCAAACAGATCATACTTCTTCGCGGTACTAGACGCAAAACGGTACGCTGGAGCGACGCACAGGAACTTGCTAGTGATACGACGCATTGTTACACGAATAACGTATTTTATGGTATTTTAGTATGCTTGGACGATTGTCGATCTCAAGTTCTGAGTAGGAAGTGTTAACAATGTAAAACTTGTGAAATTAGACACAGGAAAATTCAAATAAAAGGGGACAGTACGATAATGAGTCTGGTCGCACATTGAAGGCTAACATAAGTGAGTAGACAATACTTCGTAAGATTCATCTCATATTTTTTTTCTGTCAATTGTATTCAATTAAAAGAGAGGTTGTTTCCAAGCACGCTGTTAACTAAGACGTCAAGTGCACGACCAGGTGGCCGCTACCTTCCACTCCCCCAAGCGTATATATATTTATGCTTTATCTACGCTCTATCATAGTTTTCTATATGGAATTAAGCATGCTGCTGACTCCAACCCGATGTTTGCCAATGATTAAGGCACAACAGCTACAAAAGGGTTAACCAGGTTGCTCTGAATTTTTTCCCTCCCCTCTCCCTCCGTCCTATGTAGAAATAGAAATGTATGTGCTCGTATGGGAAAAATAAGTCCCTGCTTTGTTCTTCTCTTATGACGGATGGCCGCGATGCGATCGATTTGAGAAGCTAAATATTAAAACGATTGTCATGCGTCTGGTAAATCTTTCCCTCCGAGGCTAAGATGCGCAGGGCGTTCCTCACGTCTCCAGGACCAAAATTGTACTGCTGTGCTGCAGCAATGAGTTCATCCATGGAAAGGCCGACATCGGGGTTACCGGAGCGCTGGATCACGCTGATGAGGAGGTCCGTCAGGGGGATTTTCGTATCCCCACCGGGCAAAATGTTCTGCGCCCCGACCGCCGCGGCGGTGTTCATGGCGAACCCCCCTGGAGCGGCAGCCTCGCGTTTCTCGCCTTTCACGAGTCGGAGGTGGGTAAGGATGGCATCGAGCAGGTGGAAGTTCATCTCGTTGCTGTCGGCGATCCCGACCACCGATCCAGTAACCACCGGAGCGTCCTGCCACACCTTGACGGAGCCCGAGGCGCGCACGTGGGTGTGGAGGGGGAGAGGATCCTCGGTGCTCTCAGCATCAACCCATTGTCGAACCAAGATCTTTCCGGTGTTGTCGGTGATGTAGTAACCATAGTGCTTCGCGGTGAGGGCCTTGACAGAGGTCGCGTTGGCGTTTTCGTAACCAATAATGCGCCCAATGATGATGGCTTGCGTGGCTTCTCGGCCGTCTACAACAAGAACACCTTGCCCAACGCTTTGGGCATCCAGGAGCTGTTTAATAGTGAGGGGACGAATCGGGTTAACGCGCTGCTGCTGTTGTTGCGGTGCCGAGGCATTCGCAGACGCAGTGAAGTTGTTGTTTTGACTTAATGTGCCTAGCATAATGCCTTTATTTGAGTGATGAGCAATTTTTTCAGGTCGGCTTGTTTATCCTACTAAAAACGCAAACGAACAGTGTTTTTATCGGTTTTAAACCCTTTATCTTCCCAGTTTATTTATGAGCCTGCTTGCACCTTCTCGTTTCCTAGCGTAAACTCAATTCTTTATGTTTCGAATCCCTTGTTATTTCCGATAAATCTAATATAGTAGAGAGACTAATCTCGATCAAAGAACAAATGTGTGTACCGAAAGCGCCTGGAAGGCGAGAAGAAAGATGCACTCACTAAAAAACGTTCAGCTATGGTTTGTGAAGGCGGTGTCATCCCCCCTTGTTGAGAGAAGCCATACACACAAGCCATAGAGTCTCCATTGTGAGTCCTTTTTGTTAGTCTAAAAAGATGAATATGGCATCTAAATTTACATCACACGAAAATAAAAAAGATAAGACATAACATTTTCGCAAAAATATCGACGAAGGTGCCACCTAATGTGTGTGTGGATGTGCCAAAGGAATCCAGGCAAGTCAAATACCAGCAAAAAACAAGCAAACACATCATCTAATACGCAACGCACATGAGGGTTGCGTGTGAGTGCTCATGCATTATTTATAGCTTGATATCATACATTGGTTTCCCTCCACAACTCTTACCTCCTCCTATTTATTATCACTACCGCGTCCCCAGCTACCTCATATCGAATATACTTCATACATGTATCGTAAGTAAGCTCAAAAGTGTCCGCTTCGGAAACCAGCCAAGGAAGGGGTCGGATCCGATTTTCAATCAGATCGCCGGGCAGCGGTACAGATAGGGCAGCCCCTGTACCCGATCCCTGGACTGTTGCAGCTCCCTCAGGATGCGCACCTGCTGCACGTTGCCTTCACTGCTCGAGCTGACGTCCCCAGGGCGAAGCTGGACGATTTTCGGCTCCTCCCCGAGGACGGGCCCGATCGCCGTCGCGACGGCCAGCTCCTCGGTCGTCATGCCGGCAAGCTCGTTGGCGCTCTCGCGATTGTGTCGTATATTCGCCCCGGTGCGGAGAAAGAGGTATTCCTCCGTGGGGTTGATCTCACCTTGCAAGGCACACTGCTGCAGCACACGGGCCAAGCTCTGCTTGGTGTGGATCTTCTGCATGGATGGCGAGACCGCGAGCAGGCGTTCCGCCAGGAGCAGCGCGTCTTTACTGATCGCCCGTTTCAGCACCCGGCCGCGTTTGGTGCTATTATCCCAATCCCCTTGGTGAACGGCCGCACGGGCGGGAAGCGCGGCACGTGCCTCAGGCGGACCCTCCGGACTCTGGCGCATCGCGAAGACCCCATCCTCGCCACCACCCTCAGAGGGCGCCACAGTTGACTGGAGATCATCCTCGGCGTTGTGGTTTGCGGCATGCTGGATATCTTCCTCGGACCAGTTGTTGGCCTGGGCAATCTTCCGAACTCGGTCGCGCATGACGCTGAGGGCTTCTGCCACCTCGAAGTCGCCAATAAAACGGTCGTAGTCTAAATTCCTTGCGAATTGGAGCAGGCTATTGTTCTCATTGAGCTCGGCCTCGAAGGCTTCATCTTCAGTCATGGCCCACTTTGGCTTTTCCTTCGCAGGTTTAGGTTTCGAACCCGAGATATCCCGCGATGAGCTTGCGAACGGATCGAGTGCCTTGTTGGGGTTATACGGCGCCGGTTGAGGTTGCTGGCTAGCGTTTGTTCCATCGTCATTCTCTGCAGCTGAAATCTGGTATCGTTGGATCGCCGCCTCCCTAAGCCGTGCTGCTCGCCGCGCAGCTTCCACTTCACGATCCAAATCGGCTTGCTTCATGCTCTTTAGCTGCTTGGCAAAGCTATGAAGCCAACGGCGATGCCGAGAGAGAATCTGTTGCGATTTACTTCGATTTTTGCCTTGGTTCTGCGCACGCAGGGCCTGATTACGTTCTCGTAGTGCGAGAAATTCCGCAGATGGGCCCAGACCGAGTGGGTTGCCAGTCCTATTGGCAGGTGAGAAATCCCTGTCGTGATTAGCGCCACCAGCGTCGTTGCTTAGTGAGAAATCATTTTTGCCATTCACGGACAGCGTCGGGCGGCCACAAAGGAGGATGCCTTTGTAATTTTCTAAGTAAATATTTGCGTTGGCGGGCTGCGAATACATCGCTGGAGGCTGACTGAGCAACACATCTTTGAAACTTTCCATCTTTTTTTCCTAAGTACTTTCTTCTTGCCCCCTTTCTTGGTATTTTGACTTGAACTACAACGCACGTTGGGGCTCAAATACGGGTTAATATCACTGTACTTTGCGAGGTTTTTACACTTTAATCTTGCTCAAAGCCCATCGTATCATAAGAAAAGAAAAAATAGAATAGCAAAACTGATCTCAACTCATCAAGGGAGGAATGTGAGCACAAAAACAAGAGAATCTCGCATTCTAATAAGTCCTATACATACTTATTACTCGATATTGGTTAGATTCGCAGATGTTTGCTGCAATAAACTTACATCTTTGCATTATTCCAAGGATTAGATCCCTGTAATATACTAATATACATTCTCAGCATCGAGAGGAGGGAGGGATGGAGAATAGGTTAGATATCGAAACTGTAAGAGAATTACTATTTAGTGGGGTTGTTTCAAAATACATGTTTAGTTTTTAGATACTTCATTACCCACCCCCCTTTCGAGGGAATATATCAATCCAAAGCATGGTTCGCCAAAAGAAGCCGTCCCCAATGTGAGGACAGCAGCAATGGCAATGTAACGGCCTGTGCGCCTTCCCATTGAAGCATGAGATGTACATCGCACGCAAGTGACAGCGGCACTTTGGTGGCCTCAGAGCCATTGGAAAAGAATTCGCAGAACGTTTCGACACTCAACTCCAGATCGTCTACCGCCATTGCAGGTGGGGGCGTGGTGCCGCCTTCCGTGTCTATAGAGGTTCGGTTGATGTTCCGCAAAGCAATATGCTGACGGCTTTGCAGGGCGGCAATCGTGTGGAAGGTACGCTCTATCGTGGCCATTTTCGAGTGAGCAACTCGAGTCAATAACTTGAGGATTCGCCGCAAGGGTGGATAGGCAGGGCAGCAATACCCATCCTTGCTCGTCGCACGCGTCAGCACAAAATCGGACCTCAAGATGTACAGCAAGATCAAGGGAATATCTTCATTTTCAAGTATCCACACCCATTCATTGGTGGTGTCATCGGCGAGCTGAGTTATCGGGGACTTCAGCCACCACCACCGCACCGATTGCCATGCCGCCTCCGTGTCTACGCCGTGAAACTTCGACGCGTCCGCGATGGAAGCGGCCTCAAGGCCCTGACCACACAGCTGTGCGGGTAATGTCATGATCGCAGCACGCAGCTCTCGCGTTGTGGGCTCCGGGATCACCAAATCTAACGAACAGGGATACCCACCTTTTAGATCCTCAGGACTGCAGAAACACCAGCGCCGCAGAGCGAGACTGGTGATAAAGTGCCGAGCGCTGGCAAGGATTTTAGGCTCCAAGCCATTCCCCTCTGTCAATGCGAGAATGGATTCCTCACTTGGGACCTTTGAGGCTTGCTTGAAAAGATACCGCATCTCTTCCAGCGACAGAAAGCTTAATGGCGTCGTCAACTTTGCTCGACAGGGGGCGTTGAGGAGAAAAGAGTCAAGCCAGTAATGACTACATGACGTCTTCATCGCGGTGCCGTCTCCCTGCCTTTCATTTTTGTTATTGGAACCACTTGCCGCGCGGTTAGTGCTCACTAATAACTGTTCAATTCGGGCCAGCTGCGTCAGAACATTGGCGTAGAGGAACTCGTTCTCTTTGAGCATCGATCGCCCGAAAATGGAAAAAGAAGTGACAAAAAGCTTCATGTTGAGGTGTGTCCACGCATTGAGCGTCGATAAAGACTTTACTTTCTCGCTCTCGATCCCGCAGATATTGTTGGGGAATGGAGGGAGAAAGATATCCGGCATGGTGCGAGGCCGCCCCAGAACTGGGCAGGTCCCATCGTTTGGCCTGTTAATAGCAGCTTGATACATCCCCTGAAGCCAATCGAAGGAACCACTCATACCCATGTTAAAGCAAAACAGTACTTCGCATATCAGGTCACCACAGCGCGCAATATAAGTCGACACTGGAGCTTGCTCGCTGCGATGGAAGCTTATGAGTGAGGGTCCCTGTGATGTGGTTTGTTCTACCTGCGGAAGGGCGAAAAGTCGCGCAAGAAGTTCCTTGACCATCGTCGGCACGAATGCATCCAGCGTCGTGCTGTTTAAGAGCTCAACCGAGAGATCGCCGGAGGCGAAGGCTTCATTGCCAACCTTCGCAACAGCCCCAGACGTTACACTCTCTAAAACACACGCTATGGCAGCATCTTCAACGTCCTTAAAGTACTCATCAAGACCTGACCAGAAGATGTCGGATGCGGCAGAAGGCGTAGCTGCCAGAATCATGCGGCTGATTAGCTCATTCAGCTTGTCGCGACTGGGTGTGGGAAGTACCTTTAGCAAGGAAGGCGCCGCGCACGACTCTTTTTCTGCCGTGCTTGCCATGAGGCCACCTGTGTGACGTCGTTTCAGATCCGATATCATCATTTCCAATCCGCCTACCGTAGTCTCCAGACCAATGAGGAGTTGTCGCTCTAGCCATATACAACAGGCCGCCATTAATTCTTGTCTGTATTCATCCACAGTAGCCTTTGCTATGGTTTGAGCCTCCTGGAAGCTGCGATCTACAGTGGAGTAGTATATCGTCTTGCTATTGCCGCAGGTTCTTGTTGACGTCAGCGTGGCTGTCTGCTTCAATTTATCATCCACTTTCTCGCAGCATAAGAGTCGAAGAAAGGCAGTATCCCTAAGAAGGTGGAGCAGCCGCGTCAAGAAGCGTATCAAACAGCCAAATACACTTACCTCAGCTTGAAACGCATCTATTCGAGTGACCTCATCTACCGCTTTGTGCTCTGATGGTAATGGGAGCGTTGGGTAGGTAGAGGATTGGGTGCGATACGCCTGCACGAGCTCGCCGCAGGCTAATGATGGCAGTCGATAATCGCTCAACCGCAAGGGCGTCGGTAGCTGATGTGGGCATAGGCTTTCATTTGTGAAGAGTTTATCTGAAAAAGATGAATTACGCACAGTCTCAGTGACTCGAGATATCAGATACTCACACGACTTCATCCGTTCCTCTGTACTTTCGTGCGGATGAGATGGGGGCGACTTTATTCCTTCCGCCCAAAGCGTTCCGTCCAACTCGCCATTGGAGTCGTTCTTGGATGGAACTGCACTGAAGTTAAATTCCTCCTTACGAAAAAAGAATAGTACACGTGGGAAGTTTACGGCCGTGATGGCAGCCTCCGCAGTATTGCCACATTCGTTTCCATCCGGGGTGCCTTGTGCTGCCAAGTTGAGTTTTTCATGATCATTTTGTAGGGAAGTGCTCACGCCACTTCCGTCGTTTGTACTTTGCGAAGCGTTGGTTGCTTTCTTTTTGCTCGATTGCTTGCTATGACTGTGTAGGGGGTTTGAGTTAGTCCCCCGGCCCACCTGTGTGGTGGTTGTCAGTGTTGGTTCCGAGGCTACGGTAGACGTTGCCGGTTCGAAAGCATTTTTCCAATCTTCCTGCCATCGCTTCATGTTCATGTCTTCCACGAGAAGCTCCCGGCGCAGACAGCTCGCACTCCAATCCTGAACGCGCACTGTTCGGGACTTTTTGAAGCTAACACCACCATTACTTGAAACTGCGAGACTTGTGGGATTATTACAGACTTTGGGATCCAGTGTCTGGGGCGAGATGCCTCCAGACAAGGGCAAAGTGATTCGCATCGGTGAGATCACATTAGCCTCTTTGCTTGATAATCCCGTCACTGGGAGCTCAGGACGGAACGTATTGTGATAAATTGGTTGAGAGGATACCCCTGTATTGCTGGAGGACACGGTATCGGCTGTGCCATCTGAGTTCCTTCCGCCAGAGGTATCTGGGAGGTGAAAGTACGCTTCCTGAAGTCGGCGTTGCCGCGTAGGAAGGTTATACTCCACAAAAAATCCTAGAACGCAGAGAGGCGGAAGAACTACCGGCGAGCCATCTGTGGTGGTATTGTCATCCCTTGAATTACTATCGACCATGGCGAGACTCATAGTGGTTCGGATGCCCTTGCCACGTCCGCTTCCGGCTCGAACCCCTTTGGATCGCTGCAATGAGGCGTGGCTGGTGGATACGGAAGTGGATCTCATTTTACCGCCCCCGTAGTTCCCCGAACCACGTAGAAGGACTGCAGGCACTGGACTGGAGATGGGGTTGAATTCCGCTAAGCAATTCTGGGATTGACGCCGGACAGCGCGCTGCACAAAAAGCTCTGCAGACTCAAGGGCGGTCTGCAATTTCTGTTGCAGAAGGCGATAAAAAGGCACACAGTTCGGAAAGTTGAATAGAAACAAGCAACGGAGGGGCGGCATCGGATCACCTGACGCGTTAGACTCGTCTATAGGAGTAGCGGGTGGGGTATTCCCATGCGGCTGTTCCTTAACCTGACACGGTGAGCCAAGGGTCCATCGAATCGGGGGGACTAGACCAGAGGTGAGGACATGGAGATTGTGTAAGTGGGTGTTAACCAACTCATGGCAAAGCTGGTCCGCCATGGTGTCAAGTTCACGGTGGTCATCCTCCTCAAAAGTATGAAGTGAGGTGCGGCGCAAAATGTTTCGGAGGTTCGCAATATTAGCGATCCCCAAGCGATTACGAGATGTAAAGGAAGTTCTTCCAGCCGCCTGAAAAATGCGAGGGGTCAGAAATACTTTTTGGTACCCATCTTCGACCTTTGAAACCCCAAGAGAAGTGTGTCCTAAAGGCGTACCAGCGTTGTGTATGCTGAGGGACGAGCTCAAGTCCTCTGTAGTGCCCCATACCTGGCTAGGGCGCCTTATGGGGGAAGAATTTGATACGGATGCGGTGTAGATCCGGTCAATATTATCAGCACAAAGACATACTCCGCTCAAATCGTCCCCAAATACAAAACAACCAGCGGGCGGCATGCGGTGCATCCATCCAGGAATAATTTCCTTCCTTAGAGTGGAGGGACTACAGTTTTGCACAACAGTAGCATTACTCACGGTGTCTGCTGCAGTACCCGTTCTGCTCCCCAACGCCCCACCATCTTCGGTAGCCCGCTGACTTTCATCGAACCGCCGTCGAATATCGTCAAGTAAGCTTCTTCGCAGTCGTTCCTCTTCCACTCTCAGACCTTCTAGACTTTCCTCCACTGCCTTTGCTTGTATGTCGGAGAGGTGGCTACCCATCTGCTCTGCAGCAAACACTAAATGTTCGTGAGCCACGTTTCGACCTTCCTCACCACGTAGCTTCGAACCCTGTGGCGACAGTGGCTCAGACACGCTTGGGGACTTTGCATCAAGTAAGGGTATGTCGGGAACGCTGTGCTCGGACCCCTGGCCTGGATGGCCTCGTGATTGACCCGCCTCATCTTCGAGACCCCACAGATACTTCCGCACCCATGTCCGCCACGTCGTAACAGGAAGGTCCTGCACGAGGCGGCGCACTGGCCTCCCGTTAATATCCTCCGCACTCAAAAAACGGTTGTTAGACACACAGAACGCCAGTTCAACTAGACCCTTGGCCAACGCACGGCAATGCTCTTCTGTTGATTGGGTAGGGGAGCTGCACCTCCTTACAAACTTGTCGTTCGACACTTTTCGAGCATCAGCGGTCTCGCAGTCGATCGCAGGGGGGATCACGCACGTTGTAGCAACTTTTTCACCCTCCATATGGGGTGGCATAGGGATCGTTTCAAAATTCTGATCAAGCGTGCGATACTTGTGAATCTGCTCGCTTCGCAGCTGCTGCTTTAGTTCTTCAGCAAGACGCAACTCCACCACGCGATGGGCATCCACACGCTCCGTTTTCAGTAATGTGGTAGCTTGTTCCAACAGGCGGTTTACCTTTGTTCTTTCAACGTCTTCGATTGGTCCCTGTCTGTCGTTGTCATCACCAGACTGGGCCCCAGCCATAAACTCGCGCAAAATACGCTCCGCTCGCAGCTTCTGTTGTTCATCTTTCCTAGCGCGTATTTTCTTCATATATGTGGAGCATCTTCCATCGATGTAATCCCCCTTAACTGGATCCTCGGCACCGTTGTGGCCGATGCCAAGTTCTCGCATATTTTCTTCCATTGCATCCAACGCTGCAAAGGTTTCGGCGGCTAGCCTACTCACTTTCGTTCTTTTTTTCGAGGACTCCATTCTTTGAATATAAACACCTGTGATAGTAGTTATGTGAACAAACAAAAGACCACCTTTTTCAGCTGCTTGAGATGAAATGATACAATTACTCCCCTATTCTGAATTACACAAAGTGGTGAAAATCAAGAAATTTTGAATATCATGGTGAATACAAGCCGTTGCTAGTATTAAAATTTTTGTGATCAGAAAAATATCCAGATTCTAGTCACTTTTTTTTTAGGGTGTAATGATAGAAATTAAATATTGCCATAGGAAATATTCTTTTTTTTATGATCCATTTTGAAGCACTTCATATTTAAAAGACGCGCACTCACATGGATGCGACGGATTATATATGTGCGCATATCGATTGTGAAGTCAAAAATGCATGAAATCGAGAAATCTAAGAGGAAGTCATTCGATTTAAGCTGGAATCACATTTCTTATTGGATGGTGAGAATCTGCCGAGAATGGGTGCCATCGGGGTGATGTTTCCCCAACTTATAACAACAACCAAACTCATACCTATTCGTCTATCTATTAAGATGTACAGCACACTCCCAGCATCTAATACTTTGATGGTTCAGCTTCCTCTGATTTTTCTTCTATTAAAATAAGAAAAAAAGGATATAATAATTTGTATATATCGTGGTAGGCTATATCTACTAATAGATCTAGACTTTGGTTGAGACTATTTTGTCTCGTTGAATGTTTGATATCTTTCAGGGCTTCCGCTCACAAGGCATTCATGAAGTCATCCCATGAGCCTCATTCGTCTCGTCTTCACTTAGTTCACTATGGCAAAATGAACCCCTCAAGAAAAATCGTTTATTGAGTCCTATCTGGGTCGCGCATAGGTGAGGCTCATCCTGGGCCTCAATGCATCATGAAGATCTTATAGAGGGTGCCGTTCAATTGCTAGTGTTTCAGATTTGGTGTTTGTTTTTACGTATTTTTGGAGAGAAAAGCGTTGACGATCAAAACCTATGCACGTTTATACAAACACTTTGCGAATTCTCACAACACCAGGCGAGCTCTCTGTCTTTCCACCTTCACACCTCCCGACCCAATACTCTGAAGTGCATTCACCAGCCAATGTCTAACTGTTGGTGATTGTCTTGAGTATAATATATTCTGCATTACTATGGCGTTCAATTAGACCTACAATGTAACGGTAAATACCCCTGACCGAGAACTGACGGACGTCCTTGTAGCAATTTCTGCATCAAACCACCATGCACCAATCGAGACCCTAAAATAGCCCTTGCATGTGTGCCCTGTATTGTAAATAACTCGGACACACTCACAATATCTAATGCTTCTGAGTTCCCTATTGTCGCTGCGGATCATTCATACCGAGAAGATTCATCCTCTCTTTACATAAACGTATCGTAATTTCTTTAAGCGATTCCTTCTCAAAAAATGTACCCATGGTTGAGTCTTGTAGCATAAGAATTTCCCATTCTCGTTAGCAGGCACTGGAGAGAACCTTCCACTTCCATTGGAACTTGGTACCTCATACAAGTGAGCACACCGAAGTCCAACAGGTTCCTCCACAACAGGAGGACCGCCCCCTAGTGTTACAGTACGTGGAAAAACCCACGTGTGATTACCAACGAATGAGTTTCAGAGCTAATGCTGCCTGATCTGTCAAGTAGTGTTTTTACCAATAGAGGTTCCAAACATGTTTCAGTCGCGATAGAGTCATCTGTGATCTGAATTCATCGTTTCATTTGTCTCTTATTCAGACCTTTTGAACGTTTTCTGTTCAGCGCCACAAGTAGCTTTACCTGTTTCTAAGTCTTACTTAATGCTTATTCCTACCGAGCATCACGCGTTCGCGAGCCTCGTTAAGGTGACTCCAAAACTTATATTTTCCCCAAGTGGGCTTGGAACGCAATGTCTGTTTACTTCAGCCTAATTGTTCTTTGCTGGAGCGGTCAAAATGTATTCAAGAACAGCTCATGAAGTTGCCTAACCATACGAGACCCTTCATCCATGTCTTGTAGTCTGGTTGTTATTTTTCCGTGTTGATGCGCCAGGCATAGTTCTCTCAGAATAAAAGACGCGTTCCTTCTTTATGATAATTCAGAGCTTCACTCAATTTCTGGGCTCTTTAAAAATTTCCTAAAAATAGTTGGATTATGGTGACAACCCCTATATTAGCTTAGTGAGGTACCTCTATTCGGTATTTATGCTTGACATAAATTCCATCTGATGCCTTACTCCTTACTTCAAGAGTTCATTCAGAATTAGGCCTGTTGCTGGTACTTCATCGGGATATGTCCCTGTGTTTTTAAGAACATAGTACTTACTTTCTAAGAGGCTAAGCAAATGTGAAACATCTATTATTTCAGCAAAAAGAGAATACAGCTCTATATCCTTAGACGAAAAGGCAATATATGACTTAGAGTTGCTCCGAGCTTTTCATCATTATTCATATCCTTTCCCCACGTCTGAATGTTTTATTTCATATAAATGAGTAGTAGTTCAATAAATAACAATACAATTTGAACAACAATATTAACACCTAGATTGGATTCATGTTGATATCTTATTCCATTTTACTCATTTTTTTTTTAAATTACAACAGGAATTTTTTAAAAATATCAGACCCTAAGCCTTAGTAAGGTATGACAATTCAAGAGTAATGTTGAAGAATCCACCAAACAGACAGCAAAGGTGAGATTTATCTAGCGCATAATATTTCTACCGCTATATAGAGATTAGGACTTTATTAATCACCTCATTATTAATTTAAGCTACAAATCTATCTCTTTCTCAATTAGCTGATAAACTTGATTGATACTATTCTATTGAAACAAGGGGAACTCCCTGACCATTCAATAGAGTACCAGGTGGGTAAGTGGCTGAGCTCTTCCCTTCAGATTTCATGGCAGGAAACAACAAGACTTCCTTTATGTTAGCTTGATTAGTCATCAGCATTACCAACCGATCAATACCGAGGCCCCAGCCTCCTGTAGGTGGCAAACCATACTCGAGTGAAGTAACAAAGCCTTCATCAATTTGCATAGCTTCATCATCACCTTTATCACGATTTTTTAGTTGCTTCATAAATTCATTTCTCTGAACAATAGGGTTGTTTAGTTCGGTATAAGCATTCACAAGCTCTTTCTTATTGACGAAAAGCTCAAAGCGCTCCGTTAAACGAGGGTCATTGCGGTGCCATTTCGCTAAGGGAGACATAACACGTGGATGATCGCAGATAAAGCATGGATCAACACATTCAGGCTCCAGAAATTCGGCAATTAGGGCATCCAAAAGTCGAGGAACAGTGAATGGTGGAACAGGCTCAACATTGTGCTTCTTGCATAAATTAATCAAAAAAGAGATAGTTTCATCGGCTTCGAAATTCACATTTTCGAAAGAAATGTTGAGTCGTCGTTCCAACTCTGGAATGATATGAAGTCGCTTAAAGGGTTTACTAAAATTCAAAGTTACTTCAGTAATTATTTTGCCCTCTGAATCCTTTGGAGTGTACTTTACAAAGGGCGAGCCGTGAATTTCCACAGCAAGGCTATAGAGGAGGTCTTCTGTTGTCAACATCCAATCATTATAATCATGGTAAGCCCAATATGCCTCGACACTTGTAAATTCAGGGTTGTGGGTCAAGTCGATTCCTTCATTACGAAATTGTTTTCCTAGCTCAAAAACGCGATCCATCCCGCCTACAACAAGTTCCTTCAAGTAAAGTTCCGGTGCAATACGGAGGTACATTTTTTCGTTCAGATCATTATGATGCGTGACAAATGGACGTGCGGCTGCACCACCAGCTATTTGGTTGAGCACAGGTGTTTCAACTTCAATAAAATTACGCTCTTCCAAGAATTTTCGTACATATTTAATAATTCTTGAGCGAGTGATAAAATTTTTGATGTTATCTCGATTCACAATAAAGTCGAGATAACGTTGACGAAATCTCTGTTCAATTGAGCTCAATCCAAAGTAGTCGTCAGGAAGCATGTGAAAGCAAGTGGACAGAAGCGTAATTTTAGTGGCACTCAACGAAAACTCGTTTGTTTTCGAAAGCGACGGATACCCCTCGATGCCGATGATATCCCCACGCTTAATTCTAGAATGAATCAGGCTAAATTCTTCTGCATCGGTATAATCAGCCACCGATGATATAATTTGCAAGAGACTCATATCCCCTTGGATATTGATAAAGTGGAGCTTGGATCCCGAACTACGTTTGTTAATAATGCGGCCGGCAATAGAAACAATTTCATTCACTTTATCACCAGGTGTCTTCAACTGCGGTACGTATTTATCCTTGAATTCAGGGATCGTGAGTTGCTGTTCAAACTTGTGAGGATAAGCACTCCCCAAAAGTCCCATTTGAGTTACCATTTCCAAGCGAGATTCAAAGTAAGTTGGTTCCACGCACTTCTCCTTTTTCTTTTCATCCTTAGGGAGTTTTCCCCTCAATTCAGCCATTTGCTTGATGAGTGCCTTGCATTTGTCACTTGATGCACCACTCAGTTTTTTTTCTTGAGTGATCTCAGATGCGAGGGCATCAATCTGCTGCCGAAGCTCTTGTGTATTGAGCATTATTCACCAAGACCCACAGACGGTAATAAGGATAGCACTTAAATCGGACTTCACTAGAAAGCAGAAAAATAAACTGAAGGTAAATTTCATTAACGTAGCAAAAATAATTCAGTTTATTGTTCATTCAATTTTCCATCAATTTATGTAATGTATTAGTCTGCTCTTCAGAACATAGTTCAAAAAAAGGAAGAATTATTTTTGCTCTTCCAGCAAAATACTCATTTTTTTTTCACTTGGAACCGTGTCTACCATAACTCTTCCGTTATATGATACACCACCGAAGACCCAAGGACCGTTACTACTCCAGAAAATATCCATAACTGTATCCCCAAGACAGCCTAACTGCCTGATGCAGTTAGGCTTTTCAACATCATCAAGATCCCACAATTTTAGTGACTGATCAGAGCTTCCGCTTAAAACAAGGCTATCATGAAAAGAATTAAAGAGTGCACGCCGTACTGTATGTTCATGAGCTCTGATATGCCTTTTATGTTCGACGTCTATATTTTTAGAGTTCATACGAAACTCATGTATATGAACAATTCCATCGTGACCACAGGTGAGAATTTTATTAGGTTTTGTAGTGCTAAAATCAACATGCAAAGTTCCCTGAAATCCATGTAAATTGTCCGTGTTCTCCATTTTAATTGCTTGCTTGGAGCGAAAGTCAACAAGTTGCAAACCTGACCCAGCACATGATAAAAGGCATAGAAAAGAGTGATGTGGGTCGAGTGCAGCGTGGAAAATTCGTTCACAGTCGATACTATAAGATGTTGTTTCTGCACCAATTTTATCGGTCTCTAGCGATAAAGTAGATATTGTTTGAGGTTGCACTATTTTGAGATCATTTTGAAGTCCCTCTAAATCCCACAGTGCTTGTGTTATCCCTTTATTAAGCGACAATATCTGCTTTGGTTCCATTAACAGGTTTTCGGATACTTGAAGCACCTGAAAAGATTTTGTTGAAGCAGTAGCCAGCAGGCTTTTCCCTGAAAGCGATGGCGAGCTCCACATCCCATTTATTTCAGATTCATGATTCCATACAACACTGCACTCCAAAGTGTTTGTTTCATCTTGAAATTCTAAAAGATGAATTTTATTTTTTGCCGTGCAATTGGATGACCCTACCAAAAATCGGTGGCATTCCTGCTCGGTATTTAGGAAATGATAAAGCGGACAAATAGACCGGACTTGACGTTCAAGGCAATAGGTTGCTGTTGTCATGGCTATTAAATGAAACTCAAAGCCTGCTACAATGTTTTGAAATAAATCAAAGAATATAAATTTATTTACATATTCAAATAAAAATGGCTTGAAAAAAAATAAAGCTCATAAAACAGTCTTAGTACTTTGCCAAAATAGTGATGCAATTTTATTTTAGTCAAAAATTAGTAGAGAGTAGACCCTCAGCAATGACACATGCAAATAGGACACCCCAAGACCGTTGAAACGCTTTTGAGGCAAATAACGCTTAACACAAATATACATATATATACAATCAGAAACCTCAGACAGGAGCGCAGCCGGGGAAGTTCCTTCTACTCTCATTGTAAGCTATTCGTCCTAACCCCAACGCCTAGAGAAGGTTAGTCGTTACACCGCGCCGCCCACCATTCACTTCTTTCGATCTTTTGTTCGGCACCCCCGGCTCTTGTGCTTTTTCGAAGGGGCTTTTTGTTCAATTTTTGACTGTTCTAGGGGCGGCACTTTTAGTTCTTGCCATTTTTCGGAGTCTTTCTTTTTTTTTTTGGCGTGGGGGGGGGGAGAGCGTGGGTTTGAGTTAGGGTAATTTTATTCGACTCTAAACTTTCCGTTAAATCAATAGACGGTGTGGGGCGCGCATTTTCAACGAAGGATAAACGAAGTAGAGAAGCCAGATTATTTTCGGCGTGAAACTTTTTTTTTGATGTGATCAGAGGGCCCAGGTACTTTTTGTTCAAATATTAGGGGTGCCGGGCGGCCGAGGGGTGCCCATTTACCAATATGCAGAAATCACTGTTTCAAACTTCACTCACCACTATAATTACATATGGTGGACTTTAAGCTTGCCAAGTTTGTTTTTTTTTTCATTAAAAATCCTGCCAATTACTATATGGGGATGATGATGTAGTTGTTTAATGAATGTGATATTTATTCGCTTACAATTGTTTCCTTTTTGCTATTTTAGATATTTATTAGCTATTTGAATCCTTATTTCACACCCAAGCGAGATGTTGATCAAGGATTTGTGCCCCTTCAAAAAGACACTTTATTTACCGACCAGGGATTTCCGGAGTCTTCTAAGTTCACCTTTTCAAATAAATGCGTCTGTTGAGACTGTCAAGGGGAAGTGCGTGAAGGTTAGCTATATGATCATGGAGATTCCTCTGTTTGCGTCTATAATAGGGATTGAGCTGCGAATGATAGAACTTCTGCTTTCTGATGGCTTTAAAGGCTGCTCAACTGTCTTCCTCCAGAACCTTGATGGCCAGGGTAGACCCTGTAGTGAACCATTTGCCTTATATAGCGCTAAGGATGGCTTAATATCCAACTGTCAGCTTAGAATACCCTTACAAGGTGGAGAGAAGGTTCAATTACTTTTTGTTTGCGATAATACTCTAAATAAAAATATAACACCCACGATTTACATATCTGGCGTTTGTATGTTAGTGCCCGGCAGGGTCAAACTCTCGAAAACTGATGGGACAAAGCTGAACAAATGGACTAGTAATCGTTGGGTATTCCAAACTAGTGAAAGTTCTTTTATTCCTAGTGATGGATATAAATCCAATGTCTTAGTGCCAAAATCAAGAAAAAGGGATCGATCTTCCAGCGATGAACCACCACAACTTATACATGCTTTCGTAATGGGAGGTGATGATGAAAGCTAAAACATCACAGAAGTCTCTCCGATTTTTTCTTGACTGAGATGGTGCTTAGGCATCTAATATGATAAATTACAAGCGCGACTCGTTAATAAACTGACTACAATTTTTTCCTATTCGTTTTTTTCCCAAGATAATCTTGTTGGGTGCACTAAAATTTTTCCCAAGTATCTTTCTACTTCTTTTGATTTAGCATGGTTAGAGAATTAAAAAGGAAGGGAAAACGATCGCGGGAGTTTATAAATCTAGATAAATGTACACTGAGTACACTCCCTAGTGACACCCTAAGTGTGAATGAAGAATACGATGTCCTTTATCGGTTGCTTGAGTTACTGCCGGAGAACTATGCAAGCAAGATTGCTGCAGAGCAGCGAGTTCCAGAAGAGTTGATCATTCTAATCATCTTAAAAGCAAGATCTATTATTGCAAGTGAACCAATCTTTATAGAAATGGAGTCTCCAATTTATATTTGTGGTGATCTTCACGGGCAATACTATGACCTAATAAACATTTTAAATCGCTGTCCACCGTTAGGCGGTAAGGTGTTTGGTAGAAAATCCACTGATGCAGGAGATTGCTCTAATAAAAAAACATTTAATTTCTTGTTTCTCGGGGACTACGTCGATAGGGGACCACGCTCGATTGAGGTAATGATTACACTGCTTGTTCTCAAGATCATATCACCATCTAGCATTACAATGCTTCGAGGAAATCATGAGGATGAGCAAATTATGCTTTTATATGGGTTCTTTGATGAATGCAAGCGCCGCTATAGTATTCAGCTTTTTAAAATATTTACAGACCTCTTTAGAGTTTTACCTGTAGCTGCATTAGTTAATGGAACAGTTTTTTGCATGCACGGAGGACTCTCCTGCGAATTGTTGCATTTGAGGGAGATTCCAGATTTGCGTCCGTGTAATGTTCCACATTCTGGTATCATTTGTGACCTCCTTTGGGCAGATCCCGAGTCAGATTTACCGGAGGGCGTTGATTGGGCACCTAGCACTCGCCGGATTTCATCTGTTTTTTCAGAGCGTGTTCTTGAAAAATTTTTAAAGACCAATGAAATTGATCTAGTTTGTCGTGCTCATCAAGTGGTAGAGGAGGGCTTTCAATTTTTTCCAAATAACCATAAACGTCATCTTTTAACAATATTCTCCGCAACTAATTATTGCAATGAGTTTGGGAATCGTGGTGGCATTTTGTGCATAGATGAAGAAGGTGTTTGCAGTATTATGACATTCGAGCCTCCAAATTTTGTTCAGCAGAGAGATATAATGCTTATTCGCGATCCTTTGCCAAACCCATTTGGATCGGAGTAGGATTTCATTGTTACTCATACGTACGCTTCAGCTATTTGAAATGAAATCACTACTTAATGTTTCTGTATGTCTGGAAGTAGACCCAAAAACATTTTTAAGAAATGTGCTTACATTTTTTTGTATGTAATTCCTTGTAGTTATATACTTTTTTCTTCATTCCACAAGTATTTTTTCCATATATTCTGTCATATAATAAGTTTATTCTTCATGCTAAGATCCCATTTCTACAAGATATAGGATCCTTTTTCTGTTGCGTAACGGTTCTGATGAAATCACAGAACTATTCATTTGAACCAATTGTTGTACCTGGAGTTGCATTTTTGAGTACTGCTAAAATTGCGAACCCCAAAGGGTGTTTTATTGAAAATGAAGATAAAAAACGTCCAGTTCTTGTAATTCAGGGCAAGGTCGATGAAACAAGGGTCCAGATTCCCCGCGAGGAACAGTTTTTGTCACCACTAGGTATTTGCGATCACTTACTCATATTACAACTGCGTCTCCCGTCGCTGAATCACTTTGCTCTGGAACTCATCATAACTCATCTGGGGAATTCTCGTATGAAACTAATACTTGGCACACATCTGAAGGAGACGCGGTGTGACAAGCCCGTTGGAAGAATGCCAGTTGCCATGTTGCCTTTGATTATTCCTCGTAATCAGTGGGTTCAGGTAGTGTTTCATATCAAGGGAATCGTAGACAAAATATTTAATCTATCGCCATTCAATTTTATCGATTCTGTTTCCTTCTGTGGAAACGCAAGGATAGGGATGATGATGTCTTCTAGTAGCGAGGAGCTTTGCCTTGAAAAAAGTCAGACCAAAATGGCGGTTCTCTTGGTACCCGCGTACGGGCCCCCGGTTTGGTCGACTGCGGTGCCAACACCTAAAGATGATGTGCCAAAAGGGGTATCCCACCTTTCTGATTTACAGTATGATAAATCTGACAAAAAAGATATGTTAAAAGATATTAATTTCAATCCTAACTGCCGAGCTTCCACGGACTCAATAGGAAGCATGTCTCGCGTATTGTCGCCACTCCCAGAGTCATCTTCAACTCTCTTAGCATCATCGGGAAATCCGAACATGGCTTCTACGACTTCAAATAGTTCTTCCTCCTCAGGATCGAAACGCTTGCCAGCTATTACAATGTTGGATACCTCCAAAAAAACTCGAAAATACTTTAGACTAATCCATACAGACGACAGCTCTTCTTCTATACATAATAAACAAAACTATCCAACATTCGTGAAGCGCAGTCCGCAAGCTATTTTCCTAGCAAAGGAAGCAGTGGATCTTGGCACTGGAAAGACAGCAATATTGGGTGGCAAGCAATCCATTGAGGCGAGTTTTGAAAATCCAGTTACCAGTTGGGTGAGTGATATCCACTCGTGCGATAAAGATACAGCAGGAGGTCTATGTCGATCCACAGGGAAAAAAGATTCTTACATGCCCAAGACACTCGTAGCGAGAGAAAGGAATGTATGCAATTCGGGTAGCTCTCCGCAACAAAGTAATATTTTGGTACGGAAAGGAAGACCCCTGCGGAGTAATGACCGCGGTGGTGATATAGAAATTTCATTATCCAATGCTAAGAAAAAACAACGTGATAAACTTAGAATGAGACTTCTACGTCAGAATAAGGCAAAAATGCCGAAGGATTTACCAGAACCAAAACTAGCGTCTGAGGTTTCAATCTACAGTATTTATAGTTCCTCAGAGTCTCCACAGGTTGATGGTGCGGCTTGCTCATTCTTTGGTGGGCCAAAGGTAGGATATGGTGTTGGTTACTTAGGTGTTTTAAATGACGAAGGCGAGTACATCGATGACCAAGGTGTTAATATACGACTAAACAAGACTTTAGCGCTTGGGCCATTCGATGATGACGAATAGAATCCAGATTCTTAGCATATAAAACGATGCATTTTTTTTTCTTAAACCCAAAACCACAATGTACATTTGCTACAATTTTATTTGACCTCAACCAATTTTGGTACTTATACTCTTTTTGATACTAAATATAGAACAGAGAGACTATCAGAGGAGAAATACCTCTTCATTACTTTCTTTGCTGAGTTGGATAAGATACACAATGAAATATTACTCAAGCTTTTGTCTTTCCGTTCTTCTTGAATAAGCTACGCGTTTACTTAGTGTGACTGGAAAATGGCCCTTCCTTCGCGTAAGAATGTGCACCGCGCTCAGCGCAAGAATGTCAAGAAGCACCGCCCTGATATTATTGTGATTGACCTCAAGGGCCACGTGCTGGGGCGTGCTGCGGCTGTAGTCGCCAAGCAGTTGCTCCTGGGAAAGAAGATCACCGTGGTGCGCTGCGAGCAGCTCAACATCGCGGGCACGGAGATTCGTAACAAGATCAAATACCTCCAGTTCCTCCGCAAGCGCAAGCTGACCAACCCCACGCTAGGTCCCTTCCACCACCGTTCCCCCTCGGATATCTTCGTGCGCACCGTCCGCTCCATGCTGCCTCGCTACACCAAGCGTGGTATGAAGGCGCTGCACTCTCTCGTCGCCTACGAGGGTGTGCCCCCGAATGTTGTCCGTACCGGCGGTCGCGTTGTGATTCCGCGTGCGCAGCGCCACAACTGTTACCGCTCGGAGCGCCCATACACTGTCCTTGGTAACATGTGTAAGCATGTGGGCTGGAAGTACAGCGGCGTTGTTGAGAAGCTTGAGAAGGCCCGTATTGAGAAGGCACAGCGTCACCATGATAAGAAGGAGAAGCTCCGTCAGGCTTGGAGTGATGCGCGCAAGGAGGCGCTTCAGAAGATGCCCAAGCATAACGTCGAGGTCCTCAAGAAATTTGGTTATGCTTAAAAGAAACGCATGCTATTTTATGCTAATTTGATTCTATTATTTTTACTTTTCAAATACTATATTATGGAGTGCTATACATGTTGTTGTCTGTTGTTCAACCCTTACACCAAAAAGAAAAGGATATCTATTGTTAAACTCTACTGTTTTCACCTTTGTCTTATTATTAGCTGAACTTTTTTTTAAAGGGGTTTATCACACATTTAGCTAAGTTATTTTCACCATTGTTGTGAGTGTGTGTGTTTAGGGCGCATATTTTTTCTTATATTTACTCGAAAAGGTATCCTTGTGGAGGAAATTTTCACCACCATGACTGACAGTGCAGCCAATAAGGATATTCAACGCCCCGAAATATCCACGAGTGATGGTAATGAGACAAACGATGAAAAGTCCATTTCATTTGAGGAGTTTAGAACTATGTACGAGTCGTACAGGAGGGAAATTTTCATGAAATATAAAAATTCCAAGGACAGCAAAGTGGCATCTAGCAAGAGCGCTGCCGCGGCAGCAACAGCCGCGTTGCCGACCGCGGCCCATTCGACTACGGCCCCGTTACCGACTGCCGATCCCTCAGCTGAACCTCGGCGGTTTGTTCACGGGATTGAGGCCAGCCATAACGGCGACAGTCGAAATGTGGACTTTGTTGGTCTTGCTTACCGCGCAGTGGATGCTGTATGGGGCTGGATGACGCACGACTGGACTATTTATCTTCGTGTGGGCGTAGCCACTCTCATGTTGTATGGTAGCCTGTCTATAGTCGGGTATCTATCTGTTTTCGCCTTTTACGTAGTCTTTTCCTTGCTGAATTATCTCTTTCAATCGTTCCACATCCGGTCTCACGAGCAAAGTGCCAACCTCGAAGTCTCTTCACCAACTGTGTTGGGAAAATTTTTTATTGGGAATTCGCCTTCGACTCGCGTGCTGCCGTTACATGTGCGTTTTGCTTACATAGTAGTGAAGAGCATTGAGGCCTTCATCATCAGCGTGTCACCAAGTTACTCTTTGGAGAAGTTGGAGAAGGGGTTACAACGCGATGGTATCGTACGTACCAGGCAAAGATGGAATGAGGGGGGGGACGTAAGGTAGGCTTTCATCGTATAGATGGTGTGAATATTATCTTTATTTAGTATTTGTTTTCCGTTCCTTACCCAATATTTTTTTCTTTAGGTTAACTTCTATCAATCTTGACTTACATGTAACTTGAATGCGTTTGGTGGATGAAGTTTTACCTAACTAGTTCAGTTGTTGCATTATCTCTATGCTGAATCGTTAGCTTTAAGTAAAAATGTCAATAGTGAAATAATTTTGTGAATATTGAACTAAATACACAGTCACCTTCGACAGCATGCAGATTCGCGTTCTCCGGTGGTTTCACCGTTTCCAGCTTTCCTAAATTGTGTGTTACATCCTTGTTTATACTCTCCTCTTATGAGCACAGAACGATTTTCATTGCATATTTGGTAAATCATTTGGTTTTGAATACGGATGTTCTCTTTCAAACACAGCGTATAGTATTAAGATTAGCCAAACTACCGAGGAAGGGAAATTTTGCTTGCGTTTGCTCTTTTTTAACTTCTTAGATTATCATCATGGTGACATTGAATTTGTACATTGCCAGCGTTCTAGGTATCGTTATTATCCTCTTAGTGCGCCTAATACTTCGTTCTCGGGAGCGTCTTGTGGAGGAACCGGACAAAATTTTATTTATCCCACGTGCCTATACCGTTGAGGAGCTTGCTGAGTATGACGGAATCCGGAAACCGTATGCTTTCGTGGGTGTTAAGGGTATTATATACAACGTCGCGCTGGAGTGGTATGGACCAGGTTCACCTTACAATGATTTTGCAGGCCGCGACAGCTCCCGGGCCCTAGGGAAGTTCAAAGTGGACCGCACGGAGGCAAATACTGACTGGACGCGACTTTTACCAAAGCATATGAAATCCCTAAACGAGTGGGAAGAGAAATTCCGCGCCAAGTACCCGGTTGTGGGGTGGATCTATGATCCTAATGGAGACTTCGTCAAGCGTTCTAAGAATTTTGAACCATAAACTGGAGGAATAGCCTTTCTCCTTTGATACTCCATATAATCATCTGATCAGCCTAATACTATGAAGTTTAATCTTGGAGCTTATACATTTCCAGCCATGTATGCATTTTAACATTCATCTCTTTTATACGGACCAAGATCTCAGTTCAACGTACGTATTAATGCTGTAAGATAACGGAAAACTATTGCTCTGCTTTCATCTTTTTTTTATAACAAACTAGGAGCTGTTTGTTTATAAACGGTTTGAGGGAATTATTTTGCACCGAAGCAACGTTTCTGCAAGATAAAAAAAGGTTGATACTCTTTTAATACTCACAACATTTACTAAATCAAGATTAGGAGCTCCAAATGTCTGATTTAGATTTTTCACAGATCACATGTGAGTTGGCTAACCCACCGGATCAGGAACTCTCTATCGAGGACCCTCCCGATCCTCTCGACCTGACGTCGGTATTGATTCAGCAACAAACTCGCATTAGCAGGCTGTGGAAAGCCCTGCTGGATGTCACGCAGATGTGTGTCCTTTTGCTCGATAAGGACGAGTCTGCTAATCACCAGCCCCATGGAGTCCAGCAGGCGTCACATATGGAGCTTCAACCTGACTGTGTAGGCTATCGAGCACGTAGATGCGAAGACGGTGCCACACCGAAGCTGCTAGAAGCAGACGAGCTGGAGTATGTCTTGCCACAGTGGCTGAGAGAGCCGAAATGTAGAGCGTCCATCGCGGCTTCGATTAAACGACACCTTGGTGAGGCCACTCAAACGAGTTCTTCTGCAATCTTGGAGTTTCCTCATAATCCAACACGCTGTCCTGAACCGCCCTCTCCCTGTAGTACCTCTGTCAAAGTTAAGCCGATAATTATGGTCGATGTGACTTCCATGTTTTCATGCATCAGAGGAAGTCCGGATGATCTCCCTTCATCAAGATCAGGGCGTCGCATGAAGGATGCATCGATTCAAGTGGAGTTAAGCAGTGTGGCGGATCGACCAGCATTTTCTCCCTCATTTCCCCCGGAAGAGGTGGCAATGGGTCATCGTTTTCTGGCATCACAGAATGAACAACGCGAGTTCCTTAAACCATCATGGAATGCGGCTCTAGAGAAAGTAGTGTCTGAAAAGAGCGAGGTGGAACGGCTCGAGATCGAGCGATCCCGCGCATTAAACCAGTGTGAGGAGCTTCGTTATCAGTTAGATCAGGCTCAGCATGCATTGTTGGAACAAAAACACCGACAAGAGCGCGAGGCCAACCGGGTGAAGGAGGAGCTCCATCGTCTTCGTGTTTTGATGCGCTTCTCAGAACTAAAAAAGGATAGTGATCGTTTACCCGATGTCCTTGCTAATCTACAGGAGGCTACGCAGCAGCAGGCGAGCCTCGAGCGGCAGAATGCAAGACTTCGCGTGAGGCAGCAGGGTTTGCAGCGGTGTGTAGAGATGACTCATGCTTGGACTAGAAAGGCTATTTTAGCTGCTGAGACTGGTAGTCACCACAATGAGCACACGACGTACTGGGCGCGATTGGGACCTAATATTGTCTCTCGCATCCACGAGCTCTGCGGAGAGGCACTAGAAGGGAAAGAGTCCCATGCAGAAGGGGATGACCGTAACCTACATGCCGCAGTGCTTTCTGGTGCTGGTCATGCGCGAAGGGTAAGTCGCTCTGTTCTGGATGCCCGGGGTGTGTCCATGTTTTTAGCGCCACCCAAGGACGCCGCTACCGAATCTATAAGTAAGTCCGAGGGCGATGCCATTCCTGTGAAAAAGGCTTCGGCTGTTGCTGTGATTCGAGGAACAAAAACTCGACCCGAATTGGTGCGATCACGACCTTGTAGCTCGATCCCAAGATTAAGAGGCAGCACAAGATCCCAGAGCGCTTGTATGAGATGGTAGACCAACTTTATGAGGCTTCCTTCTATTGAAGGGCTTTTAGGTCATTATCTTCTTTCTTGTAATGAGTATCTGAATCTATGTGATGGCAAGGTTCCTCTTCTCTATTTTTTCCTATGGCAGTGACTGACTTTGTTGTTTTTATTTGATTGAATCCTTATAAACATGTAAAAAGAGTATTATCACCTTCGCTTGCTTTAATTTCACTTTGTATGTATATGTAACAATCCTTTTTATTTGTCCATTGGGCTGGCTTAGTTACCTTGTTATGAGGTTATCGGGCTTGTTCTTAGTTTGTTTGATCTATTGCTTCCCCTTCCCATTCCTGATCTATAGGTAAACGTTTTATTTTTCAGTTTTTTATTTTCACCCTCAAGTTTCACAGCATCAGGCTTCAATTTGTTTTTCTGTGTGTGTCACTAGAGTCGGTGTATACATATCTATTTACTTCTACCAGTTAACCCTTGTACACTATCCCTTATACCCATACAAATACACGTAGGCGTAAACACACATACGTAGAGGTATATAGCTATATATACGCGTATGTATAAAACCTTATTGCTTTCGATATATGCACACGATTTCGAAGGGCATTGAATCCATAGTTGCGTAAAATTATCGAATTTCAAGCTCTTTTGCATACAATGACTTCGCTAACCAATAAAATGTCTAGTTCAGAATACGCCTGCAATGACGTCAGCGTTACTGGCTCAACCACAATAGGCAGTGGTCGATATGCATCTGTCACATCAATGAAGCAAAATACATGCTCAATTGAAATTGTTCATGATACCATCTTAGATTCTAAAGAATCGAAGCAAACACTGCAGAATATTAAAGGCCCCGGTAACCATGGATCTGCGGTGAGGGAGGGCGAGGAGCGACCGAACCTTATAGCTACTTCAGCTGTTGGCCGTAGATCTGACCCCAAAAGTTATGCACCGATCTCCAACAATGTTAAGTATATTTACAAACCACACCCGCATATTCAACGACCTCCTTCTATGACTGCTACAAATCACCAGTTTAATACGATTGATGGCTTCAAGGGCAGTGCTTCATTTTCCTCTCTGCCGTTGCAGACGTCGGGCTCACGGATTATCAACGCAAATAACCCGAAGTCAACATTGAGATACACCCCAGTCCACGGTGATCTGAGCGATAGTACTTTGGTATCTTCCACTATGGAGCCCCGGGGTGTTACTCGCCCCATGCATAATCTCATGGTAAAATCGGTGGCCAGCACGGGGCAGCCCACCTTAGTTCCTTCAGCCCATTCCGCCTCTTTGGCCCCTCCTGCGGCCTCCATCTCGAACTCGATGGGAGGTGTACGGGCCGAGTGGCCCCATAGCGCTGCCGTTGGTGGAGCTCGGCACCCCGTGTCGATCCCACGCCGCTCTGATACGGGCGGTGCCTTCATCCCTGAGAGGCCGCTCGCGGAGGAGGGTAGCGACCCTCCACGCGGCATTCCACCCGGGCCCAACTCCGCCACTGCGGCGAGGGGCCCTGCCTCGCGTGGGGGCGACCCCGACGATGCGGCATCGCATCGCTTAGCGACTGGTATTGGCCCCAGGCTCGAGGGCAACGGGCCCGATGGGGGAAAGACACCCCTCCCACCTCCGGAGACGCATTCCCTCGCCGTGCGATCCGATGTCGCCACGGCGGTGCCCTCGGAGCTCACCTTGATAGGAGCCCAGCGCCCGAAGCCACCCCCGCGGCCGCGACAACCTGAGGCTGGGACGCTCCCAGAGGATATCTTTCGTCAACCCACAAGAGCTCTTAGCGTGCAGCTGGTGGCATTGTACAAATATATTAACGCTCGCTATTGGCATCGGCGCCGTATGGAGGCACCGGGGCCAAAGTACAACAACGGTTTCGATGACAAGGATGGCCACTACATCGTCCTACCCGGGGAGGAGATACTGAACCGGTTCACTGTGCAGGAGGTTTTAGGTAAGGGTAGTTTTGGAACGGTGATTCGCTGCTACGATGAAAAGCGCCACGAGGCGGTGGCCCTCAAAATTACGCGGCATGGCTTTAATTTCCGTGAGCAAGCCAAGCTGGAGCTAGATATTCTTCTCAAGTTAAATGAAAACGCCAATCTCAACCATCTTGTAGTGAAACTGTTGAAGGTGTTTGATTGGCAGGGACACCTTGTGCTGATGTTTGAGCTCTTGAGCTTCAATCTCTATCAGCTTATCAAGTGTACACGTTACAAGGGCGTTTGCCTTGATCTGGTCTGTAAGTTTGCCTATCAGCTTGTGTGCACTCTCCGCCAACTGGAACAGCAGAAGCCACAGCCCATTATTCATTGTGATTTGAAGCCGGAAAATATTCTGCTCAAAAACCAAAATCGAAGTGGCATTCGGCTTATCGATTTTGGCTCCGCCTGTTACGCCGATAGGCGTATCCACCACTATATTCAGAGCCGCTTCTACCGCAGCCCGGAAGTGATTCTTGATTTAGATTACGGTACTGCCATTGATCGCTGGTCGTTGGGGTGTGTTCTCGTTGAGCTACATACTGGGGTGCCCCTCTTCGATGGCCGCTCCGAGGCCGAACAGCTCGCACGTTTTGAGTCCGTGCTGGGCCCTCTTCCAACGGACATGATAGCAAGCTCCAGCAAAGCCTTGAAATATTATAACCTCACGCCACAAGGAACCTATGAGCTGAAAGAGCCACCACAGGAGCGACGATCGCTTGAGAGCATTCTCGGCATGACCGCAGATGCCCTACATAGCAAACGGAAGGATTGCCCTGACCACGATGAGGCGTCCTGTCGCACATTCCTTGACTTTATTTTCGCGTTGTTAAAATACCGGCCGCAGGAGCGCATCAGCTGCACAGATGCGCTTCATCATCCCTTTTTTTCATCCTTGCTTAGTATCAAGCTTGGCCTGACTGCTCCTGCAGGGGCTGGTCAGGTGCCTACAACCACCACCTGATGAGGTATCGACTCTATGGTTCCCGTATTGCGTGTGGATCGACGGAAACCCTCCCTTGGCGTGATAGCATACGAGCCGATGGCGGACTCTACGTGTCGGTTCGTACAATAAAGTCTAAATTTCGTGTTCCTAAGCCGTAGAGGGAAGGAATGGTCTGAGTTGTAGAGTAATGATAATGAGGGGGAGAGGAGGGAGAAGGTTGAATTACCAAACACATAGAATCAGATAAAAATTATCATTCACGCATTCTTTTCGATATATCCATTTCAGTCTTTATACTAGTACCCACATTATCGGAACTTAAATCGAAATTGAGACCACGGGATTCGAAATCTAACTGAGAAAGACTGATCAAAGCATGTGTTGTTCTGAGTGAGAATATTCATTCGGTTTAATTGAATGTGGCAATATATACTTTAGAGATCTTACTTTCACTCTTTTCAAATGATTTCCCCACTTTGTCTGACCCGTGCTAGTGTGAATGCAGTCCAGGGAAATAAACGAACTGTAACATTATTATTATTATTATAACTTGGCTGTGCACTTTTTAATGTTTAGTGATATAAACATTCCGATTGATGATGATGATGACTATTTGAAGAACCCCCCACCGGTAAGCAGAATATTTACTTTATATTATTTAAATAACTCTCATGACTTGCAAAATTAAAACATACTCTCTATTAGCTTCTTACTTAAAATAGGTCTTCGAAATTTGCAGGGCGGTGCGAGTAAGTTAGTCAGAGATTCGTTCGATTAATTTTATATTTTTTTTTTCCTGCAAGTTTGGCATCTATATGTCTTTAATCGTTCTATCATAACGTCTTCTACTTTCACCTTGTCAGCTTTGTGAATTCTAAATTTGAGGTATTGTTCGGATGATTCTGAACAGGTGTTATGTTTAGTTGCGGAAGGTGATGGGCAAGGGTTTAGAAAAGAGGCATATGTATTGTGTATTGCATATGTGCTTGTGAATGTAAAGAAACGATACTTGTCTTCAGGTATTCCCAAACCTTTGCTTCCTGTGTTCATTTCTTTTTTTCCAAACTCATTAGTCTCTACTTCCTACTGAAAGTTCATCTCAGTTCAGTTCTTTTCTCCTGGATTCTTTGCGCACATGCATTACCTTCATCGATCTTATTTTCTATTTTTAAACACGCTGTCATCGCGTTCGGACTAATTTTATTACGATAAGGCTCCGCAATTCAACAATTTACCTTGAAAAACTTTTTACTTCGTTACACATATTTCATTTGTGCGGTGACCTATATTGAATCAGCAAACAATATAATATTTTCCAACGAACACACGAACATGAAGTTGCACTGGTGTTTCTATGCTTTTTTTATCGACAACAGATAGTCTGAGTTTTTGCACAGAATCGAGACAGCACAAAGTATCTTGTCGGTATGGAGGGCCTTTCCCAATTAAACTCTTTATTTTAGGATGAATTCCTTTCAAAAGGAAGATTCCTATTGTACTGTGCTTCTGTATTAATGAAAATGAAAGTTGACCACATAGGCTTGTGGGGTGGGGGGTGGCTGTGGCTGGGAACGGTGAGGAAATCATCCTAAGCAAGAATGCGACGAATATTTTGGAAAAAATGATTGAGTCGAAGGTGATCGAGGATGCATGGTAAATCGGTGAATTGTGTATGGAAGGAGTGAATGAGAAAGTAAGACCATGGGTGATTTTTACTAAAGCACTTTTGGGCTATTTTCTGCAACAAAAGGATTTCTCGATCTTGTATAATTGACCAAAAGCTTTTGACCAATAACTTAGCTGCTACTGCGTACCCTGCTGTTTACTCTGATGAGAACACAATACGGAGACATGCGCTTTAAGCAAATTTATATTGTTCTTTTGAGCGGGTACCCACATATTAATATTTTTTTGTTAGATTAAAACTGTCGCTCAACGGCTGCCGACGTATATTTTCTATACTCCATTGGAAAACGTCTGAACAGGTGAAATTCATATAAGCAGTGTTCACATTGGATATGTGTGTACGTGCAAGTTTGTCTTACACTTAAAAACGTTTACAAAAAATGCTACGTCTTATTTAAGCACTGACAGTTAGCTCCATGTCTCGTTTTTTACGACTAGGGATACGCGCGTTTAGTCTAAACTTTTCACAATTGCTTTTCGTCGAAATTATATCGGGATGCTGATCCCATACTGGGATATTAATATATACTATTCAGTTCTCCGCCGTTTTGTTATATATATCATACGTTCATTAAATAAATATCTATTATCCGTAATAAAGTGGAAAAATATTACACTCGAGTGACAGCTCGATGCATTAGATTTTTATTATTTCTAACTTCTTGTCAAGCACACAAATAAACGAATGATGCAAACAAGCTCAGTGTGATATTCTTGGTAAATAGCTATCCTTAGTCTTTGCTTTAAGAATAACGACGCAAGTGCTGACGTTATTCCTTTAAAGAGATTTTAACGTGGATAACTGTGCTGTGAATTCCTTAGAAGAAAATGATAGCCAAAACAAAGCAAATTGGAAAAATGTAGGACTACTTCCTTTTCAAGATTAACGTCCATTTCATTACTTCCTTTTCGTGTGTGTGTCGGGGAGGGGACGAGGTAGAATTTTGCTTTTGTTAAGGAAAAGATTTCCCTTCACTACTGCTTTCCAATCCTTTGAATATTTTAAATTTCTTTTTTTCTGCTTTAACAAAAAAAAAACGTGTGTCAAAACAAGACAAATATAACGCCGCGATGGCACCGAAAAAACAGTCGAAAAAGTCTAATTCAAGTACTGGTGTCACCTATGTTGGCAATGTAAAAAGCAAAAAGCAGGCCGAAGAGGATGAATTTGAGAAATTTTTGTCGGATCTTAGCAAGGTCACTAAAAAGGCGGATTCGCAGAAGTCAAAGCAAGATCTCCAGAGCGGGGGGGCGCATAAGCCGAGGGCGACACACCCAGTTGTGCTAGGAAAAAAAAAACAGAACGACGTTGAGGCAGCGCTACTTAGTCAGCAGCGGCAGATCGAATTCAAACAGCTCTTTAGGGAGCTCATGATGCGGTCTGTGTTGCTTGAGAAGCCTGACACTACCTTTCACGGCGAGGTCGTCAATGAAAACCCGAAATTTGAAGTGGCTGTAGGGAGCATGCAGGGCTGGCGTATCAACATGGAGGATGCTCACTTTGTTAAAGTAGACTTTCCAGTCCATGGCAATTTCGGTGAACAGGCCTTATTTGGTGTGTTTGATGGCCACTTGGGCAGGACGTCTGCTGATCGGTGCAGTAACTTGCTTCCTGAGCTTGCGAAGAAGTATTTCGACTCCGAGAGTGACCGTATTGACTTTGATGCCGCCTTCATGGATCTGGATCAGTGCCTAGCTGATGAAAAAAAGGATGATTCCGGTTGTACTGCCATAGTGGTGCATGTGACTGCCAGCCAAATCACCTGCGCGTGGGTGGGGGATTCCAGGGCGGTGCTCTGCCGCAATGGGGCCGCCCTTGACCTTTCGTATGATCACAAGCCCGAGCTGAAGTCGGAACAAGAGAGAATTGTCGCGGCAGGGGGATTCGTGCAGGACAACCGTGTCAACGGTCAGTTAGCTATGAGTCGCGCAATGGGGGACTTTACCTACAAAACAAGGAAGGACCTTAATGCCAGGAAACAACAGGTGATTGCGGTTCCCGATGTCATGACAGTGGAGCGAGACCATGAGGTCGATGCCTTCGTCGTCCTAGCCTGTGATGGCATTTTCGATGTATTGACGAACGAGCAGCTTATTACGTTTATCATGCTACGAAAATCCGAAGGATTGGGGAATGAGGCCATATGTAAGGCCGTATGCCAGCATTGCCTGGCACCCTTGGGTGAGGCCAAGGGACAGCCGGCACGACCTGACGGGACGGATAACATGTCTATTATTATAGTTGATCTGAAGTAGGGAAGACGTGAGTAGGGGATATATTAACAGCAGTAACCGAGTCTCGTAAGCAAGTCTTGAAACATTGCGGGCTAATCTTTGACATTTGATGGGCCTGGCAAATTGACTGTTGGTATGTAGCATCGAAAGGTTTCTTTATTGTTATTGTTATTATTGTTATTATTTTTAGTTTAATTTAATAGGTGTGCATATCATCGAACCAAAAATGCTGAGAGTACTTTCTTTTTAAATTTGCATTTACAGGTTGGCACATTTATCACTTTTGCTATCATAATTTTGACTAAGGCGACTCCTCGTACGCTCAATATTGGTGTGGTAGAAAACTGAGAATTGAGGGACCACTATGACGATTACGCATGCATTGTTTCTGTTTCGCTTTTTCTGAGCTTGAGAAGCAGTCTTGCTGGTGTATTATTGTCATTTAAGTCTGTGTCATAAGACCATAATGTTGTACTCAGCAGTGAAGAACGAGGAGTAAAAAAAATAATGTGAGGGTAATTAATAATAAACAAATAATTTACTGCAATTATTCTGTCAATGTAGTTTCATTGCTATTTTGCTTTGCATAGCTGCGCTACGAACCATTTTGAAGGTTAGATTGGGTTTCAAACTGATAATATAACCTTTACTTCTGTTTTTCATCAAGTTGTTACGGCTCACAATTTAACTCCAAAATATTATAGATTCTCTCCCAAGCATACAAATTTTTAAAACTTGACTTAGGAGCTATTTTCTTTGTTTTCCTTCCCTCCCCCTCTTTCCCTCCCGTTTCATATTGCGTGTTGTTCAGTTGACGTACACACGCGGTAATTATCACGATATAGCCAAAAAGCGCAGTCGTAGTTCAGAGAGTACGGTTTCAGTAATTGCGCGAAGTGGAAATAAAGTTTCGGCGGTATAAAAAAATTCATCCTGCCTTCTTATTTTTAAAAGAAGGCTTTGCCGTAGGCCTCTAAAAAACGACAGAAATAATCAGTGTGCCTGCGTTTTTGTGTGTCTTCTGGGAAGTTGTCTGCTCAAGGAGTACTATACTGCCCTCTTCCTGTGTGTATATTGAAGATCTTTCCTAACAGGCCGTGATTCCGCAAAGTATTCGCCATTGATCTCCGTTATCCTCCACTCTTCCACAAAGACTTCCGAACAAAGTTCAGACTCTCTCTATCTCAGTATTACTTTCTCCTGCTTGAGAACCTTTGTTTTATTTTTAGATTCGTATTAAACAGAAGAAATCAGGGACTGTATCCTATTTGTCACGTGTTTTTTCCGTGAGGGAAGAAACCATATTAACTTCCTTAATTAAAACTTAAATTATTGTCATTATTACTAAGCAAGAAATATAAGTAATGGCGAAGAACAAGCGTCATGATATTGTAAAGCTATCTAAGTTTAAGACGTCGATTTGCACATTCTTCGACACCCCGTCAGGATGCCCTTTTGGTGACCGTTGCGCCTTTGCCCATGGAGAAGAGGAGCTTAGGGAGGAGTCGACAATTGATAGTCTACCCAACGATTGTTCTTCAAAACGTGAGGAGTCTGACAGTGCAGCAGGGACTGTTGCTGTTGATAAGAAAATAAAGGGGTCCATCGCAGCAAATGCACCTCCCGCCCGACTACGCAGCCCTGACAGTAGTGGCAAAGAGCACACCAAGACGGTCAGCGAGAGTGCCCCCTTAACGCCTCTGATGGTAACCCCAAGCACCGTATCCCCAATCGGCGGTCAACTTGACAATTCGAACGATACCAAGGATATCGACGGGCGCTGCGGTGCGACGAAGATTACTCCCGCTACGGCCGGTGGTGCTCCACCGCGACATCACCGCGAGGGAGGCCGAAAGAAGCCTCCTTTGGCGCACCTGGACCCTAGTGCGACTGCTGCAGGGACTCCGCTGCACCCACAGGGACTGCTGCCCATAAGTCCCGGGATGGTTTCCTGCATGATGCCGTACTATGGAGCAAACAATAGCCCAGTGGCGATGTACATTCCTTACAGTTCGATACAGCATCCATGCTTTAGCATCAACAACCACAGCTATGTCAACGTTGTCATCGATGGTTCCTCGGCGATGGAGCCGCCGAATTACTCGGTGCCGATGATGCCTTCCCACCTTTTTTCTCCGCATTCTGTTCATGGTTATCATCAAGATGGACACCATCTGACAGGCAGTGTACCTATGGCAAATGCACGACCGTGGCATCCAACCACCGAACCGGTGCACTCCAGCGCCCTTGGCCCCCAGACGGATGGCTACCTTGACGCACCTCCACACGACGTTCCAGCGAGGCCGAAAGGGACTTGCGAGAGCTATGGGACAGCCCCTGCTCCTATATTTTCGGACATTGACATGATGACCAACACGAAGGGATCGTACCCACTTAAAACAGAGCTGAAGGAATCCGCCTACCCAGCCGCGCACGCCAAAGTCCCCGGGTGTGGGGCTGCGACACCCGGGGTAACTCTTCAGTCCTTAATGTCATCGACAACCCCACCAACCATCGTACACATTCCCTTTGGTAGTGCCATGCCGTACGACCAATGTGGGGCAGGGGGTGCTCCTGCTGGAGGTTCGTTCTCACTCGGTACGAACGAGATCGACCCAGTACAACCTGTAGCGGCCGCAGCTGCCAAGAGTGGCGGCACTGACGACACCACATGGGTGCCGGGATTCTCCACGCAACTGCCACCAAGCGTTGGCCGGGGGTGGGGTGGATGCATGGTGTTGCCAAACTCCGATGCTCTCGATGTCGCCTCCCTACGGGCACTTTCAATGCCTCAGGCATCCTGCGATGCAACACCACCGTTGACTAATTTCCAAGACTTCCTCCAAACGGTCTCTCAGGATGAAGATGAATGTGTGGACTTGAATCGCTTTCTAGCCCAATGGGGGCAGTTCATGACGACACCAGAAGAGAATGGACAGGAGGGCATCTTCAATATTGACCGACCGAAAACGTCTGAGCTTCGCCCGAAGTTAGATTTAGCAGCAAAGCGCTCCACCTCTGGACTACACCCTGCCCCCAACGCCGGGGCACCCCCCACGACCACCGCCATCATTGCCGATGCCCTCAAGGAGCCCCTCCACATTACGGCCTCACATTCGGTGGCCTCGGCTTTACAGCCTCCTGTTCCGCTGAAAGAGCGTCATGACGCTCTATTATCTACCGGCTCCGACACTGCCACGACGTCGGAGCGGGCTAAAAAGAGCACCATACCGCCGCCAAGGCGCACGGGCTTAGTCTGCTCCATGTTTTGTGAGAAAATATTACCTTCAAAGGAAAACACAAGGACGGAAAAGGACACGGGGGCACGTGCCGTTCGTCGCCCGGTGATGAAGAACTGCTTCGCAAGCTCCTGCTCTACAAAGGGTATCGCCTCTGAGCGGCCGAACTCCATTCTTTTGTATAATGTCGAGAAGAACACGGTGTACTATATCACAGCCCCATGCTGTCTAGAAAAATTTCGCTCCAAAGATGACGTTCCCGCGTCAACTATTGGAGGTAATGCCTCCCACGACTCGTCGTGTGATGCATCAAAACAAGTGACGCAAGAGAATATCAAACGTAGGGAAGATTGCACTACTTAGAAATCGTTTCCTAGGCTTTAGTGAGTATTGGATTTGTACATGCTTTTATTTTTGACACAAAAAATATGAGTATCCATACGCATTTCGACTGTTCATCCACGAAGTTTTTCCTTTCTGAAGAGGCGTGTTTTTTTTCTTGTTACATAATGGTTACGATGTACAGGTTGTTAAATCTCTCCTTCATAGTGTTAGGATTGATTTAAATTAGCTTGATTCCCTTACGTGAGGCTCGTGTACCGTACATCTAGCTTTTTTTGTCATATGTCTTGTGTTTTGTAATGTCCTCGGAATATTTTTTCCCCATACCGTTTCTCTTTTTCCTCTTTGATATTGAGGGGTGATGAGGTTCGTGGGTGGATAGAGGCTTGCGTGTTATGATTCATATTCTCTATCCTTGTAAGAGGTTCGTTATGGTGTTCAACAAAGTGTCATATTCTCAAAGTGCATTGTAAGGAAAAAAAACAGATGGAGGTTGAAGGGAACGGGGTCACTAATTTCAGGTATCGGTCCTTGTGGTGTCATAGGAGCCTTGTTCATGCCCCTACCAGGCGTGTTTAAGAGTTTCGATAACCCCCTAGTGCCTCAAATTAAATCAGCTTGACCAATTTAAGAATTCAAGAACAGCGATGCGTTTATTTTCAATGCTGTCTAGTCGTTTTTCATCGAAATCTTTACTTAATCATCTAGCTAATATATTCTGCGCTAAAGGTGCGTGAAATGCTTGCCACACATTTACCAATGCACGGAGTCCTAGTTAATAGATGCCTAATGGCTTACCATGGAATCTGGTATGCGTACGTGTCTTCATTTCGAACCCTGCTCTTTACATGGGACCCTTTATTTTCTCTTTTGCTTTCCAGCATTGCGTCTGTTTTCTCGTTAAGTTTTTTATATACACCTGAGGTATAGGAGTGGTGGTTCTATGTAAACACTTCTGCGTGTCAATCACTAGATTTTTATTTATTAACCTTTACAATTATATTTCATAATCTTCGGCAATTGCTTTAATCTGACGTAGAAGGCACAAGAGGGTGAGCAGTGCTCTGATTTTTGTCCACGTCTGTTCATAAGAAAAATGCAGCTTCCCATAGTCCATGAGGAGGATGATTGTAGTGACGTGCTAAAGGTAAAATCATTTAGCTCCCTCTTGGGGCCGGATCCCTGTAGTGAGACAAACTCCAATGAGACCCAATCGCACTCCACAGCTACCTCGATATACTCCAGCTCTATGCGATGGCCATCAAAGGAGTTCGATTCTGAATGCATGATAATCAACATCCCGCCACCTATATTAAACTTCGGGAATAGCTCACAGACTTCAACAACAAGGGGGATGTCCCATATTACTACCACCGACAAATTGGAAATGGTTACTACGTTTGAGTATCGTTCTATTAAGCTGCCGCCCCTGCATTTACACGAATTCGACCGTAGTGGTTTCTTTTCAACGTCTAAAAACGCGGGAAAAAATGTATCTAAGGACTAACACCACCATTTTTTTTTCTCCTTTGAAAAAATGAAGTGGATATATCTGAAAAACGGCTTTATTCAAGCATTTCATTTTTTATCAATGCGTGGCGTATAATACGTCGGCATAAATACAAATTATTCTGTCAGATTGTGAAGCCATTTGGCTATTTTTTCGTTCAAGCTTGTTCTATTGGCACGCTTTTCAACGTAGAGTAAAAGTGTGGTATCTATGCTCATATTACTTCTACCTTATCGGTTTCATTGTCATAATCTGGTACTTCTTGAAATGATGCACAGAGTAGCATTTCTTGTTGGTAGAGAGGACGACGGGGGAGGGGGAGGAGAGCAGTTGCGCGTTCCTCATGGCAGTGATTGTGATTTACGTAGGCACACTACCTGTAACCAAATGTCCAAAAAAAAAAAGAGGGCCTGAACCATTTGATTCCTTCCTTAAAACCCTTTAAATTAAAAACTGACTGCATGATGAAATGACTGGATTTATTAGTGTATACACAAATTATTGCTACTATAATCTGATATTAAGGGTGATGCAAGTCAGTATCGTTAATTAAAGACAAAGTGGTTAGCGATAAGAATCCTCACGAAACTACAAGAGCAACAAAAATGTGCCTTACGATTAAAAGTCTATACGTCAACTTTTAAGAATGATTTAAAGTAAACTCAGAAATAGGTTAGTTGACAATTCTAATAGGCAAAGAGAGGCTTTAAATTTAGAGATAACACTTATATTAGGAGCGATGTGACCAATTTACTTCTACAAATCAGCTTCCAATATCACAGTGATATTCAAGAGGTTCTTGCTGAATTGTTCGTTTGGGGCAACATTAAAAAATAATTCTGAAATGAGTGCATTTTCGTATGATCTATGCACTCAGGTATGCCTACACCAATAGACACAAGGAATACATTTAATGCGACCTTTAGTTGACAATTTCGTGATACTGAAGATATTTCTAAGCAGTCGGATTGCTTCTATTTCATTGTGGATTATTTTTATTTAATATAAAGTTCATTTGTCTTCTATTGAAAAGGGAGTCTGACGTACCCATTCATGATTTTATTAATTGCTATCGGACAGGTTGAGGAGTATACGGATAGCGACAGTACGTATAGATGGATGTATACACAAATTAGTATAGCAGGCGTAAGCTGCTATATATGTATATATAAATATATATTTAATATTTATACGTACAAATATCAGAATGCTTATTTTAGGTCTTTAACTTTCAGTTGATCTTTTACTCTCTTCTGATCTTTATAGTTCGTATTTTTCAGTTATTACGTAAACCTCGAATCAGGGTGAAAAACGATTTATCTAGTAGTTTCACACCAAAGCGTACAATCTAAGCAATGCTGGGGGAGGGGGTTAAACCCAGCCGTGTTTGATCAGTTCTATTATTAGTTTTGTATCACACTTTATTTCCCTCCACTACTTTTTCTTCTTCTTGTATTGAAAGCGTCAAGCTAGAGTCCCACAAATTGCTTAGGTATTATACGCTTCCCCTCCACATCCCTCTAATCTATGACCAAGGCAAATAAGAGTGCTAAGGTGAAACTGTTCAAGTACAAAACTACTCTTTGTCAATACTACATTAACAATGTAGAGTGCCCCTTCACCGATCATTGTGCATTCGCCCATGGAGACCACGAGCTACATGATGAGGAGAACAATATCAATCGACTTAACGCAATTGGTAAGAAGCGATTGGGGAACTTTGTTGACATCTTAGACGCGTTTAGCCCTATTGTTGAACCATCCCCGCCCTCAGACCCTCCTAATCCCCCACCAACTCTGCCTTCTTCCGCGGGCGATGCCGTATCCGTGGCGCCCTCCGAAAGGCCCTGCGGTGGATCAGTCGTCGTCCCCCCCCTGTCCTTTGGCCCCGCCCCCCTCGAGGCGGCCACGACGCCTTCGGGCAGCCCCGCGCGCTGCCAGCGGCACTTCTCTTCAGCCTGTCACCGAGAGCAGCCGATGATGTACCGCCACAACCCCTACAGCCTGTGCGTGCAGGTACTTGACTGAGGATGAGCTCGACGCGGGGACGATCAGAGCCACCGATGGCTGAGTCCCCACCGCGTGAGGGGAGGGGATATGGGGATGCGTTGTCATACGCTTCAGGGAAAACTTGACAGGTCTCACTTTTGGGTTCTAATCGGAAGAATTAGGTATACACATATGCATCTAAACAGTTACCTATATAAGCGAATATTTGTTTTTTTTATGAGTGATTTGTTAATTGCCTTTTTACTTTTACGTCGGCATGCTTTACTCTTTTTTTTTTCCGAAACTAAGACCGTCGAAAGACGGTAAAAACGAAATTCCCGTCAAAAAAAATGTAAATACTAATCTCACCCAATCGAGTGCGTTTTCGACCACAAGCGATGTGAGGAATTGATGAAAAAAGGGTGACATTGCAAAGGAGTGAGTAGGACGCAGTAAATCTATTAGAAAGGGTATTAATATTATCATTATTAATTTGTGTATGAGGGGTCTTTTTTTCTACATCGAAGAGGAATCATTAAAATTTGTTGGACACTTTTTTCGTGTTCTTTTTGAGGCTCCTAAAGGTTAAAGTGCATAAGTCATCCTGAGGTATTACTTTGTGATCTTCGTGTATGCTGATTCATCTGCAGTAACATCATCAAGACATAATGGAGAGTCAGTGGCGAGAATAATCCTATATGTTATTGTTCCCGTTTTCACTCTAGTTTATATTTTCAATGCTTAAACATTCTGTTCCGTGATATTTTTAACATTTTCCCCTTTCCTACCCTCTTTTTGAATTTTCAAACATTTTGTTGTACCATTAAATCAATTGAGTAGATATCTGGATGTTTATTTTATTATTCCCCGTGGATACTAAAAGTAAAGACATAAGTAAGCAAAAGAGGCAATACCGAAGCGGTTGAGTTGTGAATAACTGCCCTTCTTTGTCGATGTGCTTGTCCTTTTTTTCTTTATTATGAATTTTGATCAGACCATCTATTTCTCCCAAGTAAACGATAAAAGCAAAGAGTTGATGATCTTCGCTTTATTTTACTTTCTACTTAATTATTCACTTTGTTTTTTCCGATAACGTAACTCTTTTGAAAAAATTCTTGTAGAGGGTATAAAATCACGCTAAGGATTCTTGTTACACTTTTCTGTGTTTAATACGAGGTAACCATTAGCGTTTGGTTGTAGTCCATTCGGCCGTTATAGATTTTATCCGACGCTATAATCCTACTTGTGTGAATGAAAGCTCTTTGACTTTCTGATGATATCTTCTTTATACTCGCCTTGCGGGTTTTAGAAGTAACTTCGATACGATTGCAGCCAAAGTTCAGTTCTCATACTATAAGGGAGAGGTGCAGGTAAAGGAATTGCTTTATCAGTAAAGATATTCATCCTCTTTATGTAGGATATATGTATCACTATTGAGGTTGATCAATTGATGATGCGCACTCCTTCATGCATAACTGAGCCCAAGATAAAATGGATCGATATAAGTGAGTATAAACATGAAACCCAGAAATATTACCCAACATTATTTTTGCAGTGTTTTCATGACATAATTTTATGATCTTGGATCATCTAAACAATAAATAAATATAAACAAATACCTTTTCATTTTCCATGATAAAACATTAGAGTAGTTGCTTACGTGTTGAATAAAATATCCAGAATCTCTTTTTTAAGTATTCATATTTTTTTTAATTGCTTTATAAGTATTCAAGTCGATCGAGAAAGAATAGCTTATGATGGGGCTTTTGGGGCGGTTTATTCAGGACATTAACCTGATTTATCATAATATGAGATGCGCTTTATCGCAATATGGAGATATTTTTCAATTTAAGCCTTCCTTTATCTCTCGTTTTAGTTGAAGGGGAAGAAGTTCTCTGTCTTTCATCGCAAGTCGTGGACCTCTCTGGACTTACTGTTGAGCCCAGTGTGGATAGTCGTTTTATAATATTTTCCTCCACTCAGCTCATTCGATGCTTCGAGGGACCGTCGCATCTCGCGGACGAAAGGCCCCTTCGGGCTGGAATCGAGGCCGAAGGACCTCTTCTGCGGCGTCGGTACCGCCCGCTGCCCTCACAGACACTACCGAGATCAACGCGGATGAATCCGCGGAGTTCTTCGGCGACCTCACCGGCGTGAGGCGGTCTCGCCACAC